CCCTCCCCCCCCCCCCCCCCGTTAGGGATGGTTTGGTCAATACTGGCAATTTTTTCGATAACTCAGCCATTTCTTGACGGATCCTTCTCATCTTCGGACTCGACTGAGATATTAATAAGATCATTATGTGTACAAAATTTCATGACAATTGGATGAGGCTTTCAAAGGTTATCGTGTTAACGGCCGTACAGACACACTAACCGATTCTATAGTGTACTCACTTTTTTTTTGAGTACACAAAAAAAAAGAATATAAATTTGATTGAATCATACATAGAAAAATAAGTTTCATGTTTATTAAGTTAAATAACAAAAGTTAGAAAGATATGTCAAATTTGATCGTAGAAAATATTGAATCAATAAAATCAATTAAAAGATGTTTCTTGATATTTGTATTTCTATTCAAATAATAACCTATGTCTACATAAATTAATGCGAACAACATCTTCATTTGATTTATCATGCATCAACATCTATGCCCTATACGTCTTTTACCAAGTACTTTTTATTTTATTCATAGTTTTATTTCTGTCAGTTGAAATGAGATGAATGTCTATTTAATTGAATTGGACAATACTTGTAAATTAAAAGACGAATTATTAATAAGTGCATAAATCATCCGCGCAATAACTGAGTGACTATAACATCCGATTTCCGTTTTCCGTTTTCCTGCTCTGCTCATGTCGTTGCTTTTAATTTCCAAATAAATTTAAAGAAAACGTATTGACAAGTCATTTTACGTTAGATTAAGATTACTTCAATCAAAGAAATGCACCGCTACTGTAAAAATAACCATAGAAAAATAACAGAGAAAAAAAACGAACTAAATTTTCTATATGCATTTGTCTTTATTAGAAAAAATAACGACAAGCAAATGGAAGATTGAACGAACATTCTCGATAAATGCTTAACATCAATAGAAGACGATGGGTGTTGTTTCCTCTGTGTCTAGTCGTTTGCTGTTCGGTTCATTGATTTAATACTTCTAAATGTTCCATCGATTGACAGCTAGAAAATATTTAGGCGTTTATTTTCAAGTTGTGTCTGATTTTTAGGCCTTTTTTAAGCTAGATATTCCAGAGTAAAGGAGTATAATTCATAAATGTTTATTCTTTGACCTATACATAATTAGCTTTATAATAATTAAATAAACTGTCAAGGTAATGCCTAAAAAGTAAGAAAAGTCACGAAAGAAAAAGTAAAGAACACTTCATTTTCTTAATGCAATAGTTCACCGCCGTGATGCATTACTTAAAAGCATTAAATTTATTAGAAGAAGTTTGATTAATACTATACAATATGTGTATCATGCTTTATTTTACTAGATTCATTTTATTCTTTATTATTCATTCAACTAGATATGAATTTATATTGACTAATAATCGAACAAAATTAGTTGTTTTCTTATCATTTATAAAAAAATTGATTTCTTTAATTATTTTTAATAGATTTTTTGAAAAATATGTGACATGAATAATTTATGATCGTTTTATTTAATCTTTATTTTCATCTTGATCAGACATGTATAGAGAAAACAAATGTTCTAACTGGATTTGAATCGAAATAATTACTCCTTACTATCTTATACTTAACTGCTCATTTGATAGTCAAATAAAAAGAAGTTGACGCCTGACGGAGCATTATTTCACGTAAGAAAAAAAGTCATATTTCTTTTATGGAATATACTTGATACATTTTTCTCGCTGGAAAAGTCATATATTTTTATGGCATACTACTTAATACTTTTAAGCTGGCATAAACGCAATTAATATTTTCTCTACGGGGTGTATTGAAATGTAAGTATTTTTCTTCTCATTGATGAAAAGATGATTAGAAACTGTAGCTAACTTAATACGAATAAAAATTTTTTCATTAGTTTTGTTTTTATTTAATTTCCATTTGTTATTCATTAGAAAATAGTAACATGCAGTCTAAAATGTTTTATAAAAGTTTTTTATTTGAATTGAAAACAATAGACATTCTTCGTTTTTTATTGACATTTACAGAGGAAAAGAAACATCAAATGAATACCAATCTCAATTAAATTTTGTCGCTTTTAAGCACTATTTTAAGGAAGTTTTTAATTTTATTGCGTGCATGTTATTCTTCGTCAATAACATTAAAAAGGTTTCTTCTTCTTTTATATCTGCTAGAGAAAGAAGACAAACATGCATTTCCTATGTTCCCTTGGAGGTGCATTTTCACCTAACAGTGCATACTGTTACCATAGCTTCTTCTTTTTTCTCGAACGAGTAAAAAAATATAGATGTGGTTTGACTTTTTATGTCTTGATCGTTTAGCATGCAATGTCCTTAGGTTAATATGGGGAAATAGTAGATTTGGTAAATACAATTTGTTTTCTTTTTTTTATAGTATAGTATCTCGTTTTGAAGAAAAGATTTATATAAAAGTGATTGACTTGTGGATAAAGAAATAAATCAATAGAATGATTTCAAAATTACGTTGTTAAATATTTAATAATTTTAGCCTCACCTACTCGTTCTTCTCTCTCTCATTGTTGTCGAAATTCTAGAGAGGAAAGCGCCACATATTACTAAGTATAAATAAAACAGTTGATTTAATAAAATTGCCAACATCTAGAAGATCTTTCTAGCTGACTGAATTACTTATCTTTTTCTCACTGTTATTATGTAAATTTTATTTTTTCGACATATATATTTTTAACATTCATTGGTAAATATTAGGGGTGTAACAGTTCTCAGATCTAAGTTCAAATCAAATGAACGAAAGAATAGTTCGGGTAGATCAGATCTGATCTGCTTGAACAGATCTTTAGATAGGAACTAAAACTGAACTGTCATACCCCAAGTAAATATTGACTATCATAAAGCATATTTTATGAATGTGACAAAAAGATGAGTTTAGAAATTATTGAATACGTTAAACATTACACTATACTCTGTTTTATCCTGATCTATAAGTATAGGTATACATTTGACTAGTTAGGTATGTAAAAAAACTCTTATATTAATCTAAATCTATATATATATATTTGATTATTGCTAACTATTATTAGTATTGGGTATATATTCGAGTCAATTTTTAACTAAATCAGTAACTTGATATCTAGTCTCTTTGAGTTAACTCATAGCTAAAATAGAAAAAAATTTAAAAGATTCAAGGGAGATAAACTTATTATAACTTCTGGTTCAATACTTATTGACAAAAATCAACATATGAAGCGTAATATTTTAATCTATAGTATATATATATATATATATATATATAATAGAAATGCGATAGTTTCATGCTAGTTGAAATACTTTACATTCTTTTTATTTGAACTAGATTTATCAAATATATCCTTTTATGGCATCTTTTATATTTCCAATAGTTTCATTTCACACAAAGTGAACTGAACAGATATTTTTTTTTCTAAAAGGCATCCAATGAAAGCTTAACGTTAGAATATAAAACAAAATATGATTTCCAATAACTTGACTTTTATGAAAAGATTAAATCAGTAAAACTCTTTTTGAAATGAAAAAGTATGCCATTCAAACCAAGGCATCCATATTAGATGCCTATTTACAAAAAATTAATCAAATAAGATATTAGAAGATTTTGAGATTTGTAAATCTAAAAAACTCACATTTTTGTGCAATGCTCTGTCTCATATGATCTCTTAATTTTGTGAAACACGACCTGAAAGGAGTGTTGAAGTGTTTAGGGTAGAAATTTTGCACCCCCCTCACCCATAAACCATGACAAACGGCCTTCAGAAATGACTACAGATCGTGACACACGCTTTAATTATTTGACTAATTAGCACCATATGAATTGAGCGACCCTCACAGACTGTTACACAGGATCTTCAGAGACCATCATACAGCATGACAGGCAATCTTCAGACCTAGCACAGCCCATCAGAGATGTTGTTCCAGCCTAGCGCAGATCATCATTGGTAGCGGCAAACGAGCCCAGGTCGTTCATTCCTACAATTGGATCCAATCGGATCTGAAAACGGGTTACCTCGGATCTTATATGAAAACCCACGAGAATCGACGGATTCCGGGTTGCAGACAGAGATTCAGATCCATAGGATCGGAATCCGATACATATCCGATCGTATCCAACTCTGGGATCCGATACGCCAAAAAAGTCTGCTACAGTCAACATCTAAAAAGCTTTTTTTTATACTAAATAGAATTTTGATCATTCTTTAAAATTATTCCGTCGAATCCTTCAACAATTCTGAAACCCAGAATCCAATTGAATTCCCTCGATTAGTTGGATATTATAGGATCCGATAGAATTCGCCGTCGAATTAGTCGATCTGTGGAACTGTCTCACCAAATCAACAAAGAACCCCCTTGAATACGTCATCTCCATGTGATTTCCTGCAGTGATTATGTCGTGGTTTACATTTTTATCCCAGAGGGATTGCGCTAACAGGTTTTGGAACGATCTCAAATGAAAATAAATAACAAATTTAATGTATAAAAGGAATAAAATATGTTGAAGCCACAGTCGTGTAATTAGAATTCCTTACTGAACTGGTCTTTTTGTGTTGATAGAGAGATTTATCACGTAGAGTATATCTTTTCATGAAAAGACCAATCTTTTCTTTCTATTATAGATGAGAAGAAATGAATGCTTTCTCTCATATTATTATTTGTAAGAATGGAAATTCTTTTTTTTGTAGAATTTTAATGACACGAGTCACGATACGGTTGATTCATATTCTATTTTTGATAAAAAGAAATCTGAGACTTTTTGTTTCTTTACGATATAAAAGAATTGATCCAACTATATAGAATAATCGATCGTTCAGTTAAGTTCACTTATATGTGATAGGAAGTTGTTTTCAAGAAATAATTAAACATCGATTGGTTTGAGCGTACCCATATCCAAGAAAACGATGCGTAAATGGCCCTAAACAGCATAGAAATAGTATAATACGTTGAAAAACGGCGCCGTTTTCCGTCAGCTAGGAAAACGACGAGTATACTGTTAAAAACGATGGCCGTTTTCTAATTAAAAAAACGGTCCGTACAACGTGCTGAAGAATTACGGCGAAATAAGGTGAAAATGAATGCCTTATTATATCATTTTATAGCCATGTCAGGCCTGTTAACATGCCCGTCCCAACGGTCGGAATCATAGATGTCATAATACCTTTACACTGGGTATCGAGAGTTTTACGTCACAGTACCCTATGCAGCAATAATTTATGGGGTATCCATTCTTAGTGCATCTACAATCTGATCTAACGACATTAAGCGTATCCACTTTTGGGTATCCACATTTATATATATATATATGTTAGCGGCCAATGTTGGATTACGTCCAATCTAGGATCTCACATTGGACTAGTCCAATGTCGGATCGTGAATTTGCTTTTTCAAAAACCTTTATCAATCTCTAGTCCAATGTACGATTCGATTTCTTTTTCTAGTATGACCTTGGGACGATAGCAATTGAGATAACTCAATCGTTGATGATTAAATGAGGGTGAGCTTTATGAAGTTATAAATGATATTTCTAACAATGACAGCTACTAGAAAAAAGTTAATGTAAATGTTCCAATATATCCTCACTCGTCTCAGCGATGATTCAGACGTTTCCGGTATCATCTCATCAACATATTAGTCACAAAAGAATTCGAATCTCACATTGGACATAATCCAACATTGGCCGCTAACATATATATATATATATATATATGGACACCCAAAAGTGAGTGGACCTAATGTCGATACTCTAACGTGTTAGTGCTACAAAGTCGTTACCGGGTGTAAGGATATTATGATATTACTCGTCGGAATGATTGTCCTGGGTAATTACATTTCAATGAAGTCTTTTTTTAAATAAAAGAGTTTTCAACTTTATTAAGTCAAGTGTATTCAATCCTAAAGAAGGAGATGAAAAAGAAAACTTCTTTGAAAGCCAACAAGTAGAAATTTTTTCTTTAGGAATTTTTAATTAGCTGTTTTAAATATTTATTTATTTTGCTTGTTCTTCACATTTTGTTCAGGAAAAATGGAAATGAAATTCAATACGTCGAGAATCAGATTACATTCATATCAACATAAAATATTTCTTTTCCTTTTTTGTTGTCGTCTAGAATTTGTGTCTAATAAAAGAAATATAGGCTTATTTTCGTTTACAGAAATGGAAAATATACGCAATAAGTAACCCAAACACTAACAACACAGACTGGGAAATCAGAAAGAGAGAGAGAGAGTGAGAATGAGAAAAAATCTTTGGTTGTTTTCTTTTTTTCTCTTTCTTTCTCTTATAATTGCGCATTGTTAATAGCTATAAAATTGAACTCTGTTCTAGAAACAATTGTTTGTGAATATGTACATAGGAAAACAAACTATGTTCATATCAGCGTGTCGAACTTTTACGCATCGTAATTCTTCATATTCATTACTCAATTTATCTATATATTCTGCAAATATTGTACGGTCTTCACATATAAGTGATGGTGAATGGATTATAAATAGCATATCATTAATAATTTTTGTTCTCGCTGTGCTGGGAAATACAGCTGCCCTTTTCGTTATGTTTGGTTCTCGAGGGCCGGTCCGATTGACAAATAATAAATATTTAGTTAATTTAGCGTGTGCTGATCTATTACGCGCATGTTTTATGCCTTTTACTATTATTGCAAGAGTCAAACGAAATTTTGTCTTTGGACCACTTATTTGCAAAATTTTACCAATTGTTCAAGGTAGTTTTGTCTTTTATAAGTCTAGATAATTTTTCTTTAACGAGTGAAACGTTTTTAGTACTGTTTTTACAGAAAATAAAAGTTAAAAATATTTTATAGTATTTAATGTTAGCTATTTGATAATGTTATTTCGTTTTATTTCCGAAAACTGAATAAAATACAGACTAGATTTGAGAAATATGGAATTAACAAAATTTGTCAGATGAACTTGCCTCTATTTATTTGTTATTGACTGAGGTTTACTAATGTTCTCATAAATTACAAGTGTTGACTCATTCTATTCTCTAGATTATTTTTGCATTTATAAAACCTTGAAAAATTATAGATTTAGAGTACAAATAGAATATCCGTGAGATTAGTGCTTTCACGTTAAAATTAAACATATTATTTTATTCAAATATTTAGATTTATCAGAAAGAGAAAACGCTAAGGAAGATGTATTTAGAATAAAATACTGAATAATAAATATGTTTTTGTTCAATAATATTATTTTCAAAACAAAAGAAACTGCTGATAGTTTGGTGTCATTTTTAGTATCTTTATTTACATATTTCATTGTGTGCGGGTCATCTAATTATTAAGAATAATAATCATAATTGCGTGTTATTTTTATTCGATAATTATTCAGTTAGAAATTCATTATGATTTGTGATCAGTTTACGAAATGAAGCTGTGAAAAAATAATCTTAACAGCTTTTTCTAATTTAATACGTGCATTTCTTCTTAGATGATTCAATAAAGCAAAAAAGGTTTTGTTTTTATTAGTTTAGCTGTGGAAAATACGAAATCCAAATGGAAATTATTGGTCCTTATGATATAAATAGAATAACTGGACTATAAAGTGCTATTTAGATGAATAAGATAGAAGACACGCAAGGGAAATTTCTTTCTTTCTGACATGAGCGACAGTAATAATGTCGAATAAAGCATTGTCATTTCTATTTGATAAAAGAAAGTGAGAATCAACGTTGTTATGTTTTGATATTCTATATGAAATCAAAGAGATTTTCTAATTTCGTATATTTCTCTTTTTGATTTGTCAACATATTGAAAAATTAGTAAAAAGTTTTCATTTCAGTATGATATTGTTGTTTGAATAACTCGATGAAAATAAGTTGATGTCATACATCTTAAGATTACTTTCTCTAAGAATATCATGGATTCACTTAGCATTCATTATTCTATTCGATACTTGTATTGAAAAGAATTTCTGAAATCTCATTAACAAAGAAACAAGTGATACCACTGAAAACAAATGAGTAAAAATCCTTGATAATGATGTGAATCTTTTTTCCTAATGAATATAATACATGCTTATTTCTCGGAAACACCATATTATGAACTCAAATTTCATATTCAACAGAAAAACATTCATATATCAAAAGAATAGACATAATGACTTGAATAAATGTATAAATTTTGTATTGAATTCAAGAGAGCTCATCATCTCATGAATTTATCTCTATTAGAACTTGAAAATTGTGAATTTTACGAATAAGTTGAGAAGTAAAATAAAAATTATATTTTAGTATGAATGTAAAGTCATATTTGCGCAACTGCGAGCTCAATCAAATATTTTTCTGTACTGAAAAGTTTTCATTTTAATCGACCATAAAACGTTCTTTTTTTTTGTTTTGCTAATTGTCGCTTTCCGTGAAACATACTCATTGAACTATTGACCTATTAGATATGTTTTTATATAATTAACATGAAAATATTATGATTGAAGAATATATAATATTAAAAATTAATGTAATTTAATTGTGACCTTCTTTTAGGTTTAAGTGTTGCTGTTGACGTTTTTACTCTTGTTTGTATAAGTGTAGAACGTTACATAGCAATATGTCGGCCATTATTAATACTAAAACTTCAATCTCTTCGATTTGCAAATTTTTTCAATGGTCTTATTTTATTCTTGATATGGACAATAGGCCTCTTAACGACCCTACCAAATATTTCAATGTATAATTTATGTTCTTTACCTCAACCTGGAAGATTTAAGTGTGAAAAGGTCAAGCCACAATATTTTGATGAAAGAGTTTATATGATTTCATTAGATGGTAATAAAAAAGTACACTTACCTAAAATAAATCATTTTTCTTTATATTTTTTGTTTATAAATAGTTTTTTATTTTTTGGCCCCAATGCTTATCATGCCTTCTCTTTACACACTCATTATTTGTAAAATATATAAAAATAATACTGCAACAAAAATGCGATTTTTACAAAGTAAATTTATTTTTTATTTTTTGTAAAAAAACGTCAAAATGATAGGCCTTCTTTCTTTTTTGTTTTGTTTTAGGTAATTGTCCAAGTAAAATTCATTCAAATTCATCAAATTCTTCAACAACTCTTCGTCGCAGTGATCGTCAACGTCAGCGTACATCACTAGAATGCCATCAATTTAGTTTAAATGAGCAAAACATAAATAATGATTCATCAAATTTTGAACCTGTTCAACATATATTATCTAAACAGAGTAGTGCTAAATCTAAGTCCGGCTTAGCTGATGATGATTATCAAATAGTATCTGCATGGTCAAAGCATATTAATCATAATCGTAAGATTCCTAAATCTAATCTATCATGTCGTCGATCGTCTAAAGAAAATCAACGATCACATCATTTATTTAATTCAAATACTTCTCATTTAAGTAGTGATAAGAGTCATTGTTCATCAACAACCCAAGGTGTTTATCATATGGATCGTCATCGTCGCAAAGCACTCAAACTTTTAATTGTAATTATAGTTGAATTTTTCATCTGTAGGACACCGTTATTTATTTATCATACATTTGGAACATTTGATAAAAAATTTTATCGTTCAATGCCAACGATCTTTGTTGATTTAATTCTTCTATTTTCATTTGCATCACTCTTATGTAATCCATTTACGTATTATTTTATGTCGAAAAGATATCGATCTGTTTTATATGGATATTTATCCTGCTGTATTTGCAATAAAGATAAACTAAAATTTAACAATAAAAATCAAGAAGCACGAAATATTGTTGAAGCTTTACGTTTACATCAACGACAAAATACTTTGGAATACAAACAAAAATCGAATAAACCTAAACTATTACCAACTAATCACAGTCCATACGAACCAAAATTAAGATCAAATACGTTAGAATAAATTTATTTCTCTCTGCATTTTCTATTAGAATTTTTTCAAATAAGAAAAATGACAAATTTTTCATGTTCAACTGTATCTATATATTTTTATGGTAATTGTTGTTATTGTTGTTGTTATTTTTTTGATTCGAGTAAATTTTATGATGCAATTAGATTATTTATTATTAATTTCAGCATATGAAATTTTATTCTCAGTCTTCGTTTCTTTTCTTTTTCAGATCAGAAGAATAATCTCATATTCTATGGCATAGCATTCATAAGCTTTTGCAAGAATATTTTGAATGAAGCCAAATAATAAGAGAACATATTAGTCTTGTCTTTGGGTCAAAAATATTTTAAATTAGAAATGAAATGCTCTATGATAAGAAAATTTTTCTTCTGTCGATACATTCATACTGTGAATGTTAATTAAAAAGCTTTTGAGAATTAAGTGAAAATATTCATAAATAGATCACTAATATAATTATATATTAAATTGTCGTCATTCACTTTCTTTGTTTTTACTCACTTCACCAGAAGAATCTTAAGTTAAAGAGCCTCGCTTCACAAAAGATTTACTGCTTATAACATGATTTAATCGAGTGGAAATTTTAATGATTGAATATCCTTGGAAAGAAACGCGCACGATAAGAATTACAGATCCATATGTCAAACTAAACCGGATATTCAGCTAATTCTTATTCGACTTTTATGCTGTCAGATAATCCTTACAACTTCGTTATTAGAAGAGACATTGAGTTCATGATAGCTTCAAATGAAATCTAATAGAAAGTTTGATTTCAATTGCAACATTGAAAATAAAAATAAAAACTACATAAGGCTGGCACTGTGTGGGAGGAATTTCAATTTTACTACTGGAGTGTGATATGTTTGAGAAACAAAGATAAATAAGTTTAAAAGCAGGTGTTTTTCCAGCCAAGAGAAAAAAGATATTCCAACGAAATGTTCATAATATCTTTTAACTAGAATTTTTAAAAGCACACAACAGATTCATTATGGTAGTAATGTCTTTGAATAATTCTGTTTTCTTCCATTCTGATTGATACGTATATCACTATCATTATATACTCTGTATTTTTCTGAATTACATCACGCTTTCGATTGATACAGGTGTGAACTAGTGATATTTGGTAACGATAAAGACAGGAGCTTGACGCGAATGAATCTATATTGAAACTTATTTTATATCAATAACACGATATCACCACTATCAATTTATAAGAGATAATTCACTGTAGTAGTGATAGTACTACGTAACTTTTAATAATTATTACTGATCATTAAAGTCGTTTACATACTCTCAGTTTACAAATAAATCTTTTCAATAATGGTACTTTTATCTTCAATAACATTCTTCATAAATGTAAATATGATAAAACTAAAAATTTTGCATATTTATCCTAGAAATGAAAATTCGCATGAAGTATACACAAAAGAAATTAATTCTTTTTTTTGATTGATTTTTTATTCATCAAAATCTAAGATGACTTACATTATTTGTATTAGAAAAGTCTTTTTTTATCTTTTAATTAAAATTGAAATTTCTCTTAGTAAAGAATACATTAATAATCAAGCCAATTTGACGCCAGTCAGTATTAATCTTATTTTGATTCAGATAAGCAATCGGTTTACTTCAATGGCATGTAGGACTATACATGAGCTTAAACAAAATTTCTTCAGGCAAATATGATTCTTCAAAGTAGCTGATGAATTTTTTAGCATAAAATGAAATACTAACAAAATAGTTTTGGAGTATATATTTTACTAAACATCATTCATAACCAATGAAAAACAAAAAAATTCTCGTCTACTAATATTTGAAAAAAACTCAGTTAAAAAAAAGCTGTTAGTGTAATCCCTCTGGGATAAAAATGCGAAAGACGACATAATCACTGCAGGAAATCACATGAAGATGGTGTATTCAAGGGAGTTCTTTGTTGATTTGGGGAGGCAGCTCGTTTGCCACTACCAGTGATAATCTGCGCTAGGTTGGAACAGCGTGTCTGATGGGCTGTGCTAGGTCTGAAGATTGCCTGTCACGTTGTATGATGGTCTCTGAAGATCTTGTGTAACAGTCTGTGATGATCGCTCAATTCATATAGTACTAATTAGTCAAATAATTAAAGCGTATGTCACGATCTGGGATGGCCAATTAAGTAATTGCATGGTAATTAGTTAATTAACTAAGCAGTTGAGGCATCGGCCACGGTTTCCAATGGTTTCTTAAGCGGTCTGTCACGGTCTGTGCGGGGGCGGGGGGGGGGTGGAAAATCTCTACCCTAAACCCTTCAACACTCCGTTCAGGTCGGGTTTCACAAGAGCACAAAATAAAACAATACTTCCTGTCTTGCTTAGAATGAAAATTTTAGCCGTGGAAAATCTACCCTATTCAGTTTTGCATTTCATGAGAAGAATCTCATTTTTTTCTTTCTCAATATCAATGCTTGTTTATTAAAATATACGCAATACAACGGAAGAGTAAATATAGCATACATAACTATCTACAGAATATATGACTATTTCTTTCCGTCCGTTTTAGAATATTGATCAAGTAAATTACGAAGCTTTTCAATCAAGCGTGCCCATTTATGCTCCTACTGTTCTAAATGACATTTTTTCTTGTGTATTCATATATGAGCTCTAGAAATTATGTTACAAAATCAAACCAAAAAATAGATCAACAAAATGAAGTTATTGAGTCGAAACAAACATTTTCAAAAAGTTTGAACGATAATGAAGATCTGCTAAAGATAAAGTTTCAAGTATGCTTAATAAGTTTTTGACCTAGATGTCTAAAGATAAAACGATGAAACAATAATTGGATTGTGATAATAATAAAAATAAGAAATCAAATACTTCTTGATAGTCGACACTGTCTTGATCAGTCATTTATTTTTCATCAATGCATATGTTACCTTTTGCTGATGAATTGTTCCTATGAGGATTATGAACAAACTTTCCATCTTTCATATCGACGAGAAACAAATCAAACCTGATACTTATTTTTCAATTTTGTTCGTTAAGAAAATTATAATAAATTCTAAAATTTTCTTCGAGATCAACTAATAAATCGTGTGAGGATTCAGTCGATTATTTTGATAGCATGAGCAAGTAAAAATAAAATGACTCGAATCATACAAACATGTTTTTGATGCACGCGTACTTTCAATTAATATATACGCAGTAGAAACGAAAATCATTCTTATAACATTTCAGTACAATAGAAGTCAATTACTCTAAAAAGATAATTTTATTTTCGATAAAGAAAAATCAAGAAAGAATGTTTTAACATAACATTAATTAGGATTCAAGTTCATTTGAATTGAACATGTGACATTGGCAAATAAAGTGTTAAAGTAACAGTTTAAATTCACAGATTGACAAATTTCATGATTTATTATTCAATTTCTTTGTTAGATATAAGTTGACTCTAAATAAATTTGATTATAAAATTGCAAAAAGATAATATGACGTGGCGTAATCCTATAATATGTGACTTTCCGAAAAGATTTTATTGATGACTATGAAACGGAAGAATATTTATGATCAAGTAAAAAGATTTGCCTTCTTCCATGTAAATTTATTTTTCAATTGTTTTTATTGAATGAATTTCACTTTCATATAAATTTTTGTTCAGATGTCATACAAACAAATGATAAGAAATAGGAAATGGAAAAAGTGCAATTATCCAGGTCTATAGATCATTTTCATATTTATGACATACATAATCGACACTACATAACATCAAAATATGAGTTGCTTGTTTAAATCTCAAATACTGAATAATTCACATCCAATTGATCTACAAATTAAGATAGAAATAGAAGCATCGTTCATACATTTTTTCTCTCTTTTCAACGAAATTATGTCACTTTTTACTTCTCTCAAAATTTGTTCGCTCCATTCATTGTTCTAGAGAGACTATTTCTATCACTATTTTTTCTCTACAAAGCACAAAAAAAATCTTCCTTTGTTTTGAACGAAAATAAAATTCATCGATAATTTCATTGATGCTGATCTATATAGAACCAACTGAAATTCATCCGAGAAAAATCAGTTGCATTTCCGTTTTTTTCTTTCGCTATCTAACTGAAGAATAAAAATCTCTGCGTCCTTAAAAAAACACATTTTTAACGAGTTTCTATTTTTACTCTGCTTAACATAATACACAAATGAAATGTGATCGTTGACTACTGCTGTTTGCCGTTATTGTGCTTCTGACACATGTCAATGTCAAATAATAATAAAAATTTCATTTGAGTAGTCGTGTGTGTACGTTTTTTTCTAAAAACACACTTTCAATTGATTTTTCGTGTGTATTGTATAAAGTAGAAATGGTCGACTGGGCTACGCACGATCGTTTGTATCCACCTGGATATCATGCAATAGACATTCGATATAGAAGTATGAGTTCTGATTCGTCACTACCTTATTTTGTTGCATTAAACAAGAGTAAGTTTTTGTTCAAATATAAAATAAAAACCTAGTTAATTAACAATAAATAATAGAGCACAATTGTCGCTCACGAGCAAAGCAATCAAAACAAATTAAAAATGCAAATGTGTTTAGTGAAAATCTTCTTCAAGGTCTTAATCCAGCTATTTATTTCTATCATTCAATTTCTGTTAACGAAAGTAATGAAAGGTAAACTGTTTTCATTAATATGAACAGATAGTTGAATACTTATGCAAACTAGAAATTCAAAATTACTTGCATCCTATACTTTAAATATAAATTGGCCTCGTTCAATATGTTGTTTATCTGAAACTGATGGATCATTGATTTTATGCGAACAAGAGCGATGTCGTCTTCTTCTTTTTACATCTCAATTAGTGCTTCGATCAACTTGTGGTGGAACACGAGGTGATAATCTTTATCAATTCGATTCACCTTGGAGTGTAGCTACATTAAATGATAATTCATCATTAAATGTCGCTGTAGCTGATACAAATAATCGACGAATACAGTTTTTTACTATTGAACATAATGGACAATTTTTATACAAATATGGTTTAGTTACAAAAAAAAAACCTTATTTTATTGCAACAAGCAAACGATATTTTGCTGTATCCTGTGAAAACGGTTTTATTATTACCTTCTCAGCAAACGAAAGAACTGAATTATCAAAAATAAATTTCAAGAAAATATCCTCAACGCAAAGTAATATCAATATTTTTTATTTATCGATTTTGTGATATTTAATGATCGTATTTAATCTATTTTAGATTCATGTGAATTAGCCTATTGTTTATGCATGGATCCTGAAAGTAGTTTCGTTTTTGTTAGCAATCCAATCGGATCACCGAATGTGATTCATCAATTGACTATAACTGGTGAATACATTCGTGCTATTAAACTTGATTATAGACCATTTCTTCGAATATCTTCTCTTGCATTTGATAAGCGTAATCGACAGCTTGTTATTGTCGATTCACTTAATTCGATTATTTACTCTGTAGAACATGATTTAGATGAAGATAATGTAGAAATTTTATTAAAACGCTCTGATAATCTTAATTATCCACAAGCGTTATGCATTAGTAATGAAGGTCATTTAATTGTCGTCGAATGCAGTGTATTAACAGAGCACACATTAAAAATCTTTCAATATCATTCATGCATATGTCATTCACGTTTGACAACGTCTAGTGTAAAGACAAGCGAAACAACTAGTGTTCGATCAATGATTTATCAACGCTGACGTGGAAAAGAACTAGGAACTTATTAGCTTATTTCTAATCATATGGTTGATGTATTTGAGAAATATAGCAATAGAAAATTTGTATCACTTCATAAAAATACAAAAGAACAAAGAAACTGTTTTTGATAGATCACAATGGAAATAGCGCATGGGAAATTTTAAGCAAAATCGTCTATTCTTTCCTAAAAAATTCCTTTTTTTCCTTTTCATAAAGTAAAGCCGTAATTAGTATATAAAAATTGAAATATAAAGTTAAGAATTAATTCAATAGTAAATAAATGTAAACGCTTCATTGAACCATCATAAATCGCAAGCAAAAGTAATATGCACCTGCTCGAATATGTCTTGCACTGTTTAAGCGTTACTACTGGTAAAACTAGAACATGAAGAAACAGAGCTTATCTGAATTTTTACAGATGATGAACTCTTTAAAAATTAAGATACCTTAATCGAAACAAAATATTTATTATGAAATGCAATCAGATTTCACTTAAACATGAAGAAAGTAAAAAAGACAAAACGGCAAGTCAAGAGTCTTAATTCTCGAAGCATTTAAAGTCATATGAAAATCAATGAAATTTATCATTATTAGAAATTGAGTTCGCAAAGGAATCGAAATTCACGTTAGGGAAGTTAGCACAAGATTCGAGTTTTTCCAGGCCGGATTCGCCTATATGGTTGTGTTGACTTTCATTTTCGTTGTGTTGGATGCAGAATTTTGTGCTGAATCGAATGGTGTAATTTTTAAAGGGAGTTGCCGATCAAAATCTGGCACTTTATCCGAAAATACTGCTTTTTCTGAAAATCTTGTAGAAGTAATTTCAGCCCTGATTCCTTGCTTTAGCTGTGTTCAATCTGAAAATGGTTGACTGTCCTGCCATAAGTATGTTCTCTCTTCTTCTCTCGGTTTCATTCTATCACGTTTACAATCATTCCATTCTTCTTCTCGTATCTATTCTATTTAAGTGAGTGTTAATGTTTAAAGAAGGGGGATTATTGCTGGTGAAAAGATAATAATAATAAGAAGGCGAAATAAAGAAGAAGATTGTAACAATCTTCAAATTGAGTTAACTCAAATGTCACAATGGCATTGCCAAAAGATACTTTATTGTAAGCACATCGCGTTCCAACATCAAACCTGTAAGTACCTGGTGAGAGATAAATAAATGATACTCGAGTTATTGGCATTCCCAGAAGAGTCGCTGAATAAAAATATCCTCCAGTTACATCAACTGACCAAATGTCTGAACCAAGGCCAAAATTAACTCTTTTCTCATTGTTCGGTACAACTTTGTTTCCAATAACTAAATTTCCGTTGACCAGCACTTGAAGAAAGTGATCGACCCCGCCTGCCTGATTAATAATTCTAGCTTGCACTGTAATCTTGAATAGAGTGTTTTGTATTACATGAAATGCTTCATCCATATTTGGAACAGCAGTAAAAACAGTGTTTGGCATAATATCGAAGGTGCCAGGAAATGTTTTCGAAAAAACTGTATACGATCTGATTTTTGGAAATACCGTTCGTATATTGGGTCCTAAAAATAAGTAATCTTCTATTGTGATAAGCTCAATTTATCGTAGAAGGAAAAAGAAGATTTGCACGGACGTTGCACTTCAGTTCTTATGCGCAGCCATCCTGTTCGAATCAATCATCATTCTTTATCATCACTGTGCTATTAGATCTTCAGATTTTAGTCTATTGAAGATTTCCTCTCAACTTTTATTCATTTTAATAGCCTTAAGAAAATGAATGGCTCTAATTCTCCGAGTATTTTTCTTCGTCTGTTCTACTTCTAACTCTTGTTGTTACATGTCAAAAACATCGACTCAGAATCTTAACTAAAAAATCTGTCCACCAATAGATGAAAAATGTAAGACCCATCACAAAATTTTGTCACTGTTACCTTTATTCCCGTAGAATACATTGAAATAGTCTTGCAAATACAGAAAACACCGAAAAACATGTAATAGAGATGCATTTTGTTTTTCTTCTAAATCAAATACATGAATTTACTTTAGTTTTTCATCCTCACTAAAAGCATGCTTCCTCCTACGACTTGCACACAAATAACGATTATGCAAATTACTGATGGTATTGGAATAAATTAATTTTTTCTCACGATTACCAAAATTAATTCATCATGGTACATTGGAATTTCGCTTCATTGTTACCTCAAGCGAAAATAAACTAGGAATACGATAAGTATTCTCGTTCCTCGAAAAAGAAACGATGCCATACTTGGTACACATGGCTGTGTTCGCTCCGGCTTCACCCACACTCAGGTCGGTTTTTATGGGAAAATCCGAAAAATATCCGGCCTTTTCCTGTCAAAACCTATCTGCAACTATTGACTCTTGTCGTCATAGCATAACGTTTAAGATAGATAACTCTTAGTGATACTTCAAATGGTTGATTATATTTTCACTTGGTCTTCTCTTGTTAACTTACTTGAAATAGGTGATATTGTTGAGTGTCGATTGTCATTGCTTCATCGATGGAAAATTTAAGCACTATTTTAACAGTGAATTCACATATACATTTGTTAGTAAGATACTATGAATGAAACTTGCTGAGTCGTGACGGATTTAATTCATATTGTTATGAGCACAAAAATACAGATAAATGTTTCCTTCAACTTGTATTTCTCTGACAATTGATATTGTGATAGATGAGCTTAAATTCATTCATGGTTTCTTGCAAATGATCAGAGTTAATTAGCAATTACTTTTCCAATAATGGATGATTTCAAAAATATCACTAGCTTCAACTGTTTTTCAATGAGTAGTTTTAATATGGTGAATTACCTCATATAAATTATAAATTATACATTATTTAACGTATGATTTATCACTGCATTTAGATCTATGAGTATAAGACATCCGACTCTTTGCAAAATACAACTTAGAAAAATGAATAAAACTTAATCGTGGTAAATTATCCGGGAGCCAACAATCGTCTTTTTTGTCTGCTAAAAATATATTTCTACGATAAATGTGTATAGATGAATCCCATGTGAAAAAATTTACGCGAAAAATCAACATATTCTTGATGATAATCGATTCAAACCACAAATAATTGATGAAAATCTAGCAAATATGATTTTTTTTCAGATTAAATTGAAGATTACAATCGATTTGTTTTACTTTAATCGCATAAAGTCGACTAAAGCGACTATAATCGATTCTCTATGATTTTTCTATTAATCAATTTTCATGAGCATTTCATTTTTTTTTTTTCGGTTAAAATCCACGAAAATTGATTATGCTCTTGAATCAATTATAATCATTGACATTTAGTTAGTTTAAAATAAACGCCTACTACTAATAATATATTAAAATAGCTAAATTGAAAGCCCAGTTAGGAGTCATTCAATGTTTTCAACAGAATAGCTTACGAAAATCAAGCAAAACTGATCCCAGGCTGAAAAAACATGTTTTGAGAACTTTCACGATCAGAAGTCACTTATTTATTGACTTTTTTGTAGTTAATAGGAAAACGTTTTAAAAAGAATCATTACAAATGATTTTTATAATTGTTTTGCGTGATAAAAGTTAAAATTAAATCCACCCTAGTAATTTGAAGATTGTTCATTTCAACAATGTAAAATAAATTACGGTTTAAATCTTAAAAATATAATATCTGGAAGAGTTAGAAAGTTAGATTATTAGTTCAATGCTTGGTAATAAGCAACATGCACAGACAATCCTACATCAGCGGCTATCAGCGTAGTTATTCAAAAAATGATGGAACAACCTATTTAGACTCGATACAAGGCAAAACCGTAGACACTGAGCTTGATTTCGTTATGCTCATGAAAAACGCGATTTCAACATTTATGACTTGATTTGAATCTAGAACAACGATTCAATTATCTCGAAAATCTGATGTAATACACGATAACCAGAAAAATCAAACCCCTTTCAAAGAAAAAATATTGTAACACTCTTTACAGTACTTTCCATAAAAATAATTGATTACGCAAAATCTCCGCATTCCTGAGTTATGATACGAGCTTCCTTTTAATGTGAAGTTGAGTTGTTTTTCGTTTTGAGAGCGATTGTTTTCGATGATTTCTGCCTTTTCTCGGAGAGGAGTATCATCAGTTCGTTTAGCAGAAAATAAGGATATCGATATCAAGCCATCACAGTTACTTTAAATCAGCTGTTAGTTAATTTGTGATTCATTAAAACAGATAAAAATCAGCTGAAATTTGTTGTAATCAATAGTGTGGGGGAAAAAATTGTTGCGTCGATTATAATCTGATTCGTTACCCATTTTTTACAGTGGAAACGGTGTATTGTATTTTTATCACATGAGATTTTGTAATCTTCAACAAATGACACATGATCTTGAGAATCTGATTGGTAAGTTCAATGGAAAAGAAAGTGGATTTAGTTATTTGTTTTTAATTAGATTTGTAAATAAAAGTGATTAAAAACAAATTGATACATCTGAAACAGTTCCCATTTTGTGACTAAGACCATGCAAAAACATCGAGAAACAATGGTTAAAAATGAATTTTTTCTATGATTGGTAAAATTGCATCAAACGATGGACGTTTAGTTGGATCATCGTGTGTACATATCTGAATAAGTTTATCAATATGAGATGAAATGCCAGTTGGTGGTAATCGAACATGTTCATGAACAATCTATTGAAATAAAATCAGTCGAATTCTTTCACAGAAAAAAAAGATCTATGATAAAAAAAATACTTTTAAGCCGCATTGCATTGGTGTTAGATCACTAAATGGTATACGACGACTAAATAATTCCCAGAGAAGAATTGCAAATGACCAAATATCCGACGCATTTGTTAATGTTCCATTTTCTAATACTACGATAAAAGTCAATGATTAACATAGGATGCTTGTTCTTCGTCTCAAAATAAGCTTTACCTTCAGGTGCTACCCAAGCAGGTTGACTAAATTCAAGATTTGATTCAAATGAAAAATGACAATCGGCTAGATTAAGTCGAGCAATATTTTCTTCATTGATCTATGAGAAATATATTACCATATTAGAATAAGTTTATTTAGGCATATAACAAAGAAACTAGGTGATTAACTAGAGATAATCGAATGGATTTAGCACACCCGAGAAATCATACAGAGAAAACTGAACATGAGAGTATTTCTATTTTTCGTATTGATTAACTTCGTACGTTTTGACAGCGCGGGACTAACGTTAAACATTAGCACCAAATAATCTTCTGAACGATAGATTTAATTGTCTTGTTAAAGAATTTAGAAGATTCTTCGATTGGATATTAATTTCAAATATTAGTTATTCAAATAACAGTTACAAATTTTTACAAGAACTATTTCTGTATCTTTACAAAAATAAGAAGTACTTGTCTCATAAAAAGCGAACTGCCTATTCCCTCTACTGAAAGGAGGGTATTACGAAAAACGAGTTAAATGCGTTCGTTCGTAAGTTCGTAAGTTCGTTCGTCCAATAGGAAAGCAGATGCATAAACTTCACAAACCTCAAACAATATCTGTAGAGACAGGTTTCACCGAAGGTAATCGGGGTCGGGGAACACGATGGCGTTGTCAGATTTTTGAAATTTTGCNAAATCATTTCGAAGCTATAAAATGTGAAGTCCCTCAGCTAGATAGTTTAGGATAACTACGTTCTACATGACTAAATCCTTTCAGTAGAGGGTTGGCGACGCTAACGTCGCGTTACCTTGTTTATTTACCAGAACGTGATGACTATTGAGAATGAATTGCGGTCGAAATGAATTTGTTATGCCATGTAAAAACGCCATACCACGCCCTATGCCCAAAGCTATTTTAAGAGATACTGCTGAATCAATGGTATTGTCTTAAAAAAAAGAGCAGAATAAATAAAACAAAGCAGCTTTTTTTTCTTCCTAAAATCTTTCTTTACTTGTTTTATGTAACATTTGAAATAAAGTTTGATTTCCATGTGAATATTGTGTCAGAACAATAACATTAGGACTATCATGACATACTCCAAATGGTACAAGTAAATGTGATGAATTGAAAACTCTATTGAAAAATTTAGTTTTATTTATAAAAAGCAAAAGTGAAAAACTAAAACAATCATGTTTTACTTTATTTTATCGATTTCATGTTGAAATGTTGCTGATGCATAGGAGTTATGATGTAATTTAAATATTTTTGCCATAATGGATGTATTATTATAGACTGCTTGCCACATCTATAGTCGAAATAGATTATGAAAAAAACAAAGAATGAGTCGTTTAGAAATGAACCTCATGTCGATGATTCGAATATAAACAATGTTCAAATTGTAATTCTCGAATATCAATGATCGATTTTGTTGACGAAGTTCCCATAATATCAAACATTGGCATTACTGGACATCGATCATGTTCTTCGAATGGTATAATTTGTTCATCTTGTCCTTGTTCTTTTGCTAAATCTGTTGGAAGAAAAATCTCAACAAAGTCATAATGTTTTGTTTAGCAAACAAACCAGACAGTTGAATACAAATTTCTGCAGATGAACATAAATCTAATGGTGTTTGTCCATAACGGTTTGAAACAAATAGTGCAGCATGTCCAATTTCAATAAGATATTTAGCGATAGATAAATATCGATGAAAACATGCATAGTGCAGTGGAGTATTTCCATGAATATTTGTTAAATTTATATGTGCTTTATTTTTAATTAACTAAATGTTAATGATCAGAAGCGAAAAAAAAACAACAAAAAAAATAATTTACTTGTTGAACAATGTCAAAATGATCATGACTAACTGCTAGATGTAAGGGTGTATCATCGCCTGAAATTCGATATCATTTTGTGCATATTCAACAAAAAAATGATAGTTGATATTATATACCTCGATTAACTGCATTGGTACGAGCACCTCTTTGCAGTAATAATTGAACTATGGATAACCGACCATACCATGCTGCCCAATGAAGAAGAGTAAATCCGTGTTCATCACTAAAGTAGAGAAACTCTGTGAAGTAAGAAAAAAAAGCTTCCCGTAGATAAACTGTAGTCAACCTCTGATGAATGTCATTTGCCGTATTATCAAGCCATAGGCGAACAGCATACGTATTATTTTGACGAATTAATGAATATATATCATCACTCTCATTTATAATTACCATTTCAGAGAATGAGTGAGTAGAAGCAAAAAGAAACAGAGCAGTAGAATTCAATCGTATTGCCAATAGATAAAAGGCGCTACAATCAATCATTCACACTATATATCTTCTCCCCAAGGTTTGCACTCATTTATATTTCTATGTCAGATAGAATAGAAAAGTAAATGAACGGCAGAGGTACTAATAATACTGACTTTCATTCGCAGGTATTCTATGCGATTAAGTGAGCAGAATGATGGACATTTAAAATCTGATTCCAAGTCAGCTTTACTTCTTTAGTTACCGTTGATTATTTTTTTATGAAGTTTTCTATGAGTTGAAACTCATTGAAACATGAATAGATATGCATAGTTATTCAGAATATCAGCTTTGATTTTTTTTTGTACACGATAGTTGCATTTAAATCTCTGCAGACATCAATCTTAGTCGAAACTTGGAAGTTTCTTCGCTCGGTATTGTAATAGTTGTTTTTTATTGGTTGTTTTTCTACTAGCATTAAAAAACCAATATATACGACACACAAAACATCGACATTTGAAAAAATATTCTTTTTTCTTTCAAATTCTTGCAATGGAAAATGTTATAAAATCTGTTACTACCAGCCAATGAATGTTACTAATGCATTAAAATCCGTCAGGACGATGCCAATTAATGAGATTGCTTCGTAGTCTATCGCGAGTTCATTTTTCTTATTGAAATTTATTTTAAACCATAAACAACTATGAGTTATGATCAAATTAAAAAGAACAAGACTGAGGAGAAAGAATGTTACGATTCTATATGATCAACATCCAGAGCACACTTGCATATAAATCATATAAATAGAGCATATGCAGTCCGGCAATCTGTGTATAGAGCTCAGCGAAATGATGTACTAAAGAAGAGGTAGATGCTGGATATGATCAGAAATCAAGCGCTGACTCTCCGATATTGTCATTCACTCGTTCGGCATAGTCAGCCTCGAGAAAGTGTAATTTTTATAAACAATGTAAGATAAAATAGTACGATGGTACTTGATGGAAGAAGTTGATAAGCTATCAATTCAATACCAAATATAGAAAAGAGTAAAGATAAATTAAATGCGTTGCTACAAGGATAAAGAAAGTCGACTACAAAATAAGAAATGAAGATATATAAAAATAACGATCATTGCGTTAGATAGTGAAAACAAATTCGTATTCCTTTTCTATTGAACAAAAATTCGAGTGGAAAAAATAGATAAATGTTGTCCAAATGATACTTCAGTGATATGAAACAAGCTAGAATAATAAGCAATTGAGTCAACATATGTTCCAATAATGCATCTTGTCATGTTCGATGAAGAACCATTTCCTGTATACAAATATGAAGAGTTATCGAGATTAATTATAAGCATAACCAAAATAACCTAAAAACTACGTCTTTTATTTTCAAATCTTCAATGAAGAGAGAAATCAGTATTCAACAGTGACATAAAAAGTAAAAGACAATGTTTGGCATGTGTACATGACTGCATAGATAATCTTCGTATGTATGCTTGGTTGGCAGGTGTTTCGTAGGTTAATGAAATGATCGTCGTGTTGAAAAAGTATTTCTGTGGCAATGGTGTTCATCGTTCAATCTAAAATATAGGAATGATTTTTACAACGTTTAGGAGTGTGTGTGGGTGTCTCTCGGTGATTTTAGGAGTTTAGTGTCGCACTCTTTGTACATGAATCACATGTTATTTCGATTTCTATCAAAAATATGGAAACTGAAACTGTAAAGTGAGAAAAAGTTTCTTATACGAAACAAATGAATGAATAACTGCACCGCTTAATTAATGATCTGCAATGATATACAAGACGGGAGTATTTCATGCCCAGTTGAAGATGATTATAGGTGCTGTCCATCATCAATAATATACGATAGTTGTCACATCTGATTATTGAAGAGAAAAGTTACGCTCGAGATGATCTGGTTGATTCACAGTAGGAAAACTCACATTAACTAAACGACTCACGTTTTATCTTGAGGCATTTTAATCTAGAATACACTTTAGAGATATTGTCCAATACTACTAAACTCTATTCATCAATGAAATTTAATGAATTCTCAAACCTTTTTCAATTTCACTACCGTGTTCGAAACATATTTAAGAGCGTAAGCAAAAGTAAAATTCATAAATATATATATATCATTTACCATTCAATTTGTCAATTATGGCTTGTTCAATTGAAACAATCGGATCATTCCAATGTGCATTTATTTTAAGACTATTCAGTCTTTCTATCAATTCTTCGTTAACACCACGGTATTGAAAGTTCTGTGTTGAAAGTGCTTCTGGTCTATGGAAGCTTGTAACTCGTTCTCGTGACTGCATGACTTTTGTGTAGACACGCCGTAGCATTCGATCTTCATATTGACTGATTGCTGAATGTAAATCTTGACTGTTCTGTGCAATTATGTCAGCTAGTTCAACAGCATCCAGCAAGGCTTGATTGGCACCTTGACCTTTGAAAGGAGACATTGGATGAGCAGCATCGCCAACAAGTACAATTTGAGTACCATTCAATTTGGGATCTGACATTGGTACTAGATCTCTGTCAAATGCTGGAATTCCCATGAGCAGATCTGGTTGTGTTCTTTCGATCATTTCAGGTATTGGTGAATGCCAATCAGAACATTTTTTCAGAAGCATCTGCTTCAATGCCTCTGAATCTTGTGATAATTCAGTTGCTAAAGCTAAAGTCGTAGGAAAAGAAAGTTGCCACATAATGGATTGTTCTGGTTTAGATTTCGAAAATGGCATAGCAAAAAGTCGAAAGCACCCGTCCATCGTTTGAAATACACGATCTTTTATAAGAAAATGATCAATATTTCCAGTAATTCCCAATACCACCAATATACCCAAGTAATTAAGCGGGGTATCTACAAGAGGATCATATTTGAAAGAACGTACTAAGCCGTTGATTCCATCAGCTCCAATAACCAAATCAACATCATTTACTGTATGATCTTTGGCGAATGAAACTTTGCGTAAGACACGGTCAATCTGGATAATACGATAATCCCATTGGATACCTTGGGAACCAAGTGGATGTAATGAAATATATCTGTTCATGAGAATCCTTCGTAATTCCTGTCGTTCAATGTGTAAATTATGTTTCTTTCTGGCCTTGGGCTGATTGTCCTGTTCTGGCCAAAATACAGTTCCAAAAAAGCCGATCATACTTCCATATTTGTCAAAAATATAGTGTGATCGTGAAGGAGTGTCTAGCGAGTGTACTTGCTGAAATACTTCTAAGCGTTTCAACGCACTGATTCCTTGTAGAATTGTTAATCCATAGCCTTGACGTCGACTGTCCATTCCTGTGTCTCGTTCGTACACTGTAACATCTGTGTATCCATGCTGTAGAAAACCGATTCCGACTGCAAATCCTCCCAATCCACCACCAACGATCACGATTTTCATTACAAGGATATTGTGATCTAAACACAAACAAGAAAAACAATACTCCTGTTGCTTCCTTTTAGCTTTATGCGATGAATAAATGAAACATGAAGAACTTTCAAATTCATCTTTTCTGGTATAATTTGAAGAATGGTGCGAATACTCTAAACTCAATGAACGAAAATAAAGTCAACATAGATAGATATGCTCATTATCATATTTTTCACTCGGAGTTTTATTTGAAATTTTGTAAATCAACTGTTGTGTTTTCCTAATTTGATACAATCCTTTTATGGGTCACGATTTATACATTGATTTGATTCGATCACAGTTTAAACATCCTCTTATTAGTACAATACTTTTTTATTGTGAACCAGTTTGCTCTTCAGATGACAAAAAAGCAACTCACAAATTTTGTATATGCGAAAACAGAATTTTTAGCTATTATCAAGACTGGGATCGAGAGTGGAAAAAACAGTCTTTTTGTGGATCCCTGAATACTCCACACTCGTCGCTCGTATTTTAGAGTAATACAAAATTGTTGTGCTCTTTTTAACGATGTCACTCCCATAAATTAGACATTGGCAATCGAATTATTGATTCTGAGTTTTAATTAGTCAACGTATCAAACGAATGTACAACAGGTCAACGATTAAGAAAAAAAAGCGCACTACCATGTTCAATAGATGTCGTAGATCTTCATACAACGGCGCCGTAGATAGAAGTATTATCTCTGAAATTTGAAAGAAAAGGAACTTGGTTAATTGAAAACTAAAATAATTATAAGATCGAATAGATTTGTTATGCTAAATTATTGTTTCTCATATGATAAATGTCAAATGTTTTTTTCTCGAAAGAAACTCTATTGAACAAATTACAAAAAAATAGGGGATTACATTTATGATATATACGGATGGTATAAGAAATCCTGACAGTAAGTGCATGTTTTCTTGAGATAATGAGTTTTTTTTATAACTCTCACTACAAAACGGTACAAGGTAACCAAAACGATAGACATCATGTTCACTATTTCATTACTGTCTTTGTCTGCTATTGCATTGATATACGTTACATTGACCGACATTACAGTTGAATTTTCTTTCTAGTGTTCACAAATCATAAGATAGATCGATAGGTTCTACCTTTGAGAAAAACAATAGACACATTATTCAGCAACGTATAACTGAGTCGTTTATCTTCAAGAAAAGAAAATCTTTGTAATCATTTTCGACTTGTTTATGTCTGTTCTAATCAATGATTTACATAAAACTAATATCATTTAGAGAAACAAGTATAGAGATTTACTCATCGCAACAGAATCCGTTGGCATTTGTTCATAACTATTCACTTAAATAACGTTGGCATCACAACGTAGTTTTGAGAGACTTCATTCAATTCTTAAAAATATAGAATTTTTATCAAGTGTTTGTTTTTCAAAAAGTCTTCATAATGACAGAAATTGTAAATTTAACAATGTTCAGCTGAATAATTTGAATTTTGTGAACTACTATTACAACGGAATCATTTTTCGATCAGCAATACCCCATATATAAAAATCTATTGTTCTACACAATACACAGCTGGGTTTGATCTAACATTTATATTGAAAAGTCTACAATATTTTGAATTTGTTTCTATAGATATTCTATAAACTAACAATATCACACTTTTGTTATTTATCGATCACCGATTTTAGTTTGATCAAAAATGTGTATTCTATGCAATAATTTTAATTACATATCAGTCAGTTTTACGACATTGATGCATACAGAAGCATATATTTTACGTTTTCTGTCTAAATCAGGAGTGTTTATTCCAACAGAACGAAGAAGAAAAAAACACCCAACGCATAAGAGTACACGACGAACGGAAACTGTTGCCATGCTGTAAATTTTACAATCGACTGTTTCAAAAACAAAAGTAGTTGGTAAAAAAAAACGGCAGACATAAATAAGTATTACATATATTAATCAAATAAAATTGACTAGAATCACTTCAATTTGGTAAGTACTTATTAGAAAGTTTTCGAAAATGTGACTGTAAATTTCAAGAGACCATTCTCTAGGAAAATTGGTGTTGTACCAAAACCTTATTTTTTTGTCTCTCATCCATCTTGAAAAGGTTTCGCACGTGTATCCAGGTGACGAACTCTTATTAAAATTTCGTGGCTACTGTAGAGCTTTAAAACGTTGCGCATGGTTACGATTGTAACAGTGCACATTTATAAATAGCAAAGACTCCGTATAAAACTGTAATGTTGTATGTTACGATAAGGGTTGAGTAATTCTCTATATCCACTTGCATTCGTATTCCTCAAAAGCACTTTTCTCAACTACGAAAATCGCACTCTATATTTCAATTTTTCTTTAGAACATTATTCTTTTAGAAACGAGCAGAAGAATGCTTAAAATACCCAAGGTAGAACAACCTCTGTCGTTTACGACCATTTACTGCAAGAAAAAGATCATTGACGATCCTTCTATACAGAATCCATATAGAATCTCCATTGGACTACGCATTTTTCCTGAAATGGTTGTATTTCCCTGTATATGATACGGCGATATACGATCGTAATACTGAACCATATATTATCCCCAAATATAATCGTATAAGGAGACAAACAGAATGTAGATGACCGCTTACGATTATGTATGAATGCCTAAACCTCGGCCTAGGATCTAGTAAAATATTTAATTGGAAGACATTCAGCACAATACCGCGCTCCCATTGATAAGTCTATTGCTCTATCCAAATCATTTTAGAATTGCGTGTACTTTCATCATGTGTTGGTGCCACTTGGCTTGTTGTTACAAAGCGTTGCCATTATACACAGCTGCTATATTATTTGTTGAGTTCATTTTGGTTATTGTACGCATAGCAATCTTTTTTTCGCCATCATCACAATTAGTAACAAACAGTCAGGCTGTTGCTGGCTTTATTTTGGATTGGATTTCATCTCTTGCAGCAACATTATTGGGAATTTTAGTAGCTTTAACAATACTAATAATTTTATTGGCAATATTAGCAGCAATATTAGCAGCATTATGCAGCAGCAGCAGGAATAGAGTACATTCGTACAATGAGGACTCAACATCCAACACTCTTAAAGATCTTTGGAAAAATAAGCCATTACAACGTCTAATACAATTAAACTGTAATTGTCCATGTTATATTGCCCGACCTAAGGCGCGATTTATAGCACGATTGGTATTTTTACTTGTCTGTTTCATTTTTCGAATTATCGCTATTGCTCTATACGCATCAGCAGGCAGTAATACTAATGGGGGCTCACTAGCTATTGTTTGTGCCATTTCATTAGCATGCTTGGGTACAATATTTCTCATAGATTTATATCATTACGGTGTCTGGTGGCACTATAGACCGCAATGCGATACTAGATGTAGTTTATTATCAAAGAAGCATAAAAGATACATTCCTTATCATTTGATAGGCGTCAATCGTACCATGCGTCTCGGCGACAAGCCTTGTCCTGATGGTTTCCAGTGTAGAAATCGTCTTTTAGAACACATTTTAATATTTCATTCGGATGATTTCAAGCCTCAAGAGCGTTATAGTCAGGTTCAACAAAAAAATCCAGATGATACTCTTTACATTGGCTTTCACCGGACTAAGCCTGAGGCAGCTGTCAGTATTGCCCACTCTGATTTTTCCATTAGTACCAATCCTCGAACTACGATGTTAGGTCAGGGAGTCTACTTTGCTCGATCGATGGCAGAAACCGAAGGTAAAGCGAACTCTGCTGGTGCTTATATATGTGCTGAAATTCAGATGGGTAGAGTAAAAAACGTGAGTCCAGGATCGGATATAAATGCTCTTCGAGGAACACGAGATTGGTGGGCAACATATGATACGGTGTATTATAATCATTCTAATGATAGTCGCGATGAATTTTGTGTTAAAAGCCCGGATCAAATATTGCGCTGGGTGATGGTGGTCGACCCAGAATGCGACGAAAAAGTTCGAAATTATGGTCTGGACACTGAATTCGATGACACAAAGTGTGGATGCATTTAGAATCAAATAAGCCAATTAGTTTGCACTCTTTTTCTATTCGAGAACATTTTCTTTCTAAAATATTATTTTTTCGGTAATAACAAATTTTTATATTGTAAGTAGGTGGGTGCGTGTGATTTCTATTGAAAGAAAGATGAAAGTGTAGATTTTACACTGTAGAATCAAAATAATCCTATTCCTAACATATTTGCAAGATAATAAATAAAAATAACATAAAACGAATACAAGATGAATATAATTATGTTGCAAGTAGACACGCAAGTATCATGAAATTCTATCAGTTAACACACGTCTCATCCACCAGTACCTAGATTGATCTTAACTAGTTCAAATACTAATTATGTTCTCATGTTCTTATTGATGATTAGTGATCATATGAGGAGACTCATCATGAACAACAAAAGAAATTGCTCTTCTTTTACTATATTTTCTTGTAGCCGATACATAACAGAACGATAGAAAGAGAAAATAATTAATGAGCATTATTATGCATGATGATTGTGAGTTCAAAGCAGATAAGCATGAGCATACTAACAAGTGGGCCATAAAGAATGTCACCTTCAGTGTTTTTGGAATATCTCGCTCAAATTGTGGCGTAGATACTTCAGTTTTTTTCCAAAAGGTAGTCCGTGCAATTCCCTACAAAACCTAGTGAAAAGAGCTGTTCGAACGATCAACTATGGAAGTATATCCAGTCAACATTGCAATGCCACAAAATGGCGCACTTTCACAGCACTCGTGTTCATATTAACGATTTCGCGCCGTTCTTTTGACCCCATATAAACAGGCTTAATAGGCCATTTTGTAGCCCTTGAAAAGTTCTATTGGTTCAACGAATACCTTTTTTGACATATTCTTAATTTACTCGAGCAAAACCTTTTATTTGCTCCCCTCTGTTCACGTTATGAGAATTCTCCATTAAGTTTCATCACGATTTTAATTTTGTTATCATAAGTGGAAAATTATTACATATTCAAATTTAGTACTAGGTTGAAGGAAGACGTTTTCTCTGTCATATCGATACGAGCAGAATGGTGTAAAATAATTTGCTGCAGTGCTCGAGACGCATAATAAGAACGATCAATGATTCCAACACATTTTTTGTAGAAGAATGACCACTGAAACCATGCAATCGTATCTGGATACTTCTTTGAAGCTTTGTTAGAAAAAGTACACTCAAAAACACAGAGAACTTGCATTAGAATTGAGTTTCGTATCTAATTTTCTAAAAATGCGCATTTGAAAGTGCGCCATTTTGGGGCATTGCAATGTTGACTGGATATACTTCCATAGTTAATCGTCCGAACAGCTCTTTTCACTAGGTTTTGTAGAGAATTGCCCGTGCTACCTTCTGGAAAAAAAACTGAAGTGCCTACGCCACAATTTGAGCGCGATATTCCAATAACACTGAGGGTGACATTCTTTATGCCCCACCCGTTAGTAGGAGCACTCAACGAAAAAGATTACCAATTCAACTTGAGCATATATTTACTGAAGGATTAAGTATATGATAAAATGAAATTTTTATAGAAAGATCGATTGAGAGATGAATATAGTGAACATGAATTCCTATACATCTATGATCAGCATACACGCTCAAACTATTTATTGATCAAATTGATTTTTAAGTGAAAACTAGAAGATTAATTATTCACGTGCAGCCAAGAAAGAACAATAGTCGATATCGCACAGCAGTAAAATATGAGAAAATACAGAATACATACAAGTAATTTTTATTTTCAATTAAGACTTAAGGAAAAAGATTCATAATAAACGTCTCAAATGAAAACCAAAGATATATAAGTACATGAATACTCACCGACTCATGTTGGAATATTCTCATTGCAGATATATGACGATTACTTTATTTTTATCTCCGCTAATATAATATTTTGAAATCGGCGAATAATATTTTTTCACCAACATTCATTTATCAGTGAACCTAGGTAAATATTTCTTGTCATCTAGCGTAAATATTGCAGCATAAAAATTTGAAATATGTATATAAGCAATGATAGCGTTAAAGAAGCAATCCACAACACTCATACGAAATCAGCAATGGGCCAAACTCAATCAGTACAAAAACAGGACTCGTAACTTTCGTAATGTTTTATTAGTAGTAGAAAATGTTGCTATTATCCTATTTTATTATAGCGCAGCAATAAGAATTGACGCGGCAGCTCAAAATCAAAACAATAAACAAGTCACCAATGAGGATACTGATATCAAAGAATTTTTAGAAAATGGTACCAATCATATTATGGAAATAATCAAGCAGTGTATTGAAGATTCGAAAGAACTTCAAGATCATGAATATAAAACCGAATTCATTTAATTGTGTGACGTTGCTCAAATTGATTTGTATGATGCGCGGCTTGCTTTCATAAGTGCTACACAAAAGAAGATTAAAGAAGCGAAGGCGTATCCGGAAAATAATGCAGAACAACGAAAGCGCGTTCATCAAGAATGGCAAAATATATTGGATAATACAGTAATTCAAGTTAACATGATTGTTAGACCTATAAAAGCGTTGATAGAAACTTTGCGAGAGATTGACAAGACATTGAAGAGAAAGCGTTGGTTGTGTCTATTCGCTGGTCTAACATCGGTATGTTTAGGATCTGTGATAGGTGGCATCTTGATCACACATCTTTTACCAGCAGCTATAGTTGCATGGACTCTTTGTACTGCTACATGTGCTATAGCTCCATTCTTGCCTTATATATTGGGAGGAGCTGCATTAATTTTATTAATTGCTGGAATATTTCTCGTATACAAAAGCATCCGTACCAAGAAAACTAGAGAGTATTTAAAACAAGCCTTAAATAAAATCAAGGTTTGGGCTCTCAAATGTTTTCGGTCATTCACAGAAATTTTTGAAAGCTTGAATGAAAAAATGACGGATGAAAAATTAAAGACAGCAATTACCGACGCGCTTCTTCACTGCAAATTAGACGAAGATGTTTGGCTTTCTAACGGACGATTGGAGTTATCCGAGGACATATTAGGAAACCTTCATGATCGTTTGGCATCGGAGAGGTCAGTTTTCATACAAAATTACAACAAAGAAAGCCAGAAGGGAACACATAATTAACTAGATGTTGTTAAGTATTTGCGATATCCGTTATTCTCTATCTGTGATGTTTTTACTTGCATCTATTGATTATTGAGCTTTTGTTTTCTAAGCTGATAGTCGAGAAGCTTTTTCCTGTTTTTGGAGAGATTGTTGATTGAAATAAACGAAACTTGATTTTTTTTTATTGAAAGCTTATCCTTTTCTGTTCATTGCCACAATTTTCAATATTGACAGAATTTCTATTTTAACTGCAACAAAAATATTCTGATTATATATTTTCATTTGTATTAAATTTACTACGGTATAATAGTATAGGGAAACGACAGTTTCTATTATATAAATCAAATATCTGTTTTTAGTGATTTATGTTGAATTTTATTTTATTTATATGCATGCGGGTATGCAAGCTTAAAACAGCGTAAAAACATCAAACATGAATAAACACTGTTTCTCTTTTTTTCAGAAAAAAAACATTATTTAACTGTTTTCAATAATTCGAAAACATTCTTATATTTTGCTAACCCAACACATGTAACAAGAATATGTATATCATCTGGAATGTTTTAGCAGTTTTTCTAAAAGTTCTTTCAAGATTGTCGTAGTAGAATTCAGTGTCATGTGTATTTCTTATGGAGTTGAAGAAAATCCTATATACGTAAGTAGTTTTTGCAATCCAAAAGAATTCCTATATTTTCACCAACTAGCGCTACGATCCCAGTCGTTAAGGAAATTTATTGTTTGATATAAAGGAACTACGGTTTGGTTGGACCTATACATGGTGCTATCTAATTGAACCAATGAACTTTGCATCGGTCTTGAGCACATTTTTTTTAGTATTAACAGAAATATCCTTAGATCAATCATCTTTTTGACCTCTGTTACTTACTATTCTTATGATTATCGATTACCGTTAACCAATTACATGGAGTTAGCAATATACTGACCCTTTTCACTATTCGTTACGTTTCTCTTTTAGTTTAAATAAAAAAAACTAGAACTAAACAAAAAGCGTCCACAACAAATATAAATAGAAAGAGACAAAATGCATACCACATAAACGTTTGGTTCTTACGGTAAACGAAAATTTTTGTATCCTCATGCTTGTAAAGGTGTTGAAAATCCCTTATAAAATACTCTTATTAAGATAATCTTTCGCGATTCTTCCATTATTTTCTTATATAACGTGAAAATACATCATGTTTTATTTGTTATGATATCATGTGGTGATGGTCACTGTCTAATGGTTTATTTATTTTACGAAAAGACTGAGAGATCAGCAGATCAGCGAGTTTCAATTTTTCCTCCTACTGCAAGTGACTCCAGAGGAGAGAATTGAAAGAGTTGATTTCTGGATAACTGATCAGAGCAATATTTGGTACGTTCATCGATGCAATGTTGGACTTTCGTGTTCATTACACTCACTGAGAATATTTCCGAACATGAGAAAGTAATAAAAAGCCTCATCGTAATATGAATGATAGCGAGGCTTGATGCATCAATCAATTTGAAGACTATATTACTTTATTTAGGGTGTCTAAAATGAGTGACGGTTGTGAGTCATAATAGAAATCATATACGAATTGATCACTGATAGAATAAAACTTATTTTTTTACGTGAAAGAAACTTCGATCTGACACACGAAGACTCAAATGCTTGATATGATTGTCCGTTGTAAAGCCGTTTAGATACTTACAGCCTGAAAGCACAGGCACTCGTAGGTCAGTGGATTTAGTAGCAACCAATTTTATAGCACTGTATATCTAGAGTAACAAATAGAAATTGAAACATATTCACCCTATGTTGATTAAGTTTCAAAGAGTTAGATATAAAAAATAAATTACATATTTCAACAAGCAGATAAATATGATTTTACTTGAATAAACAGACAGAGATATAAATCGTCTAATAGCATCAGCATCGATTTATCATTATATGCACCCACAGTATAATTAATTGATCTGTTACAGTTTACTCTGATCGATAGCAAGAAGAGCACATCAATATCAATTTGTTTTCGAGATCATAAAATTTCAGTATCATACTTAACTTTTTTTAAAGAACATTCGCAACATAGGGGCTAGATAATTAACTTGTTAACTACAATAAACTATTTTATTATATATTATATATTAATGAAAATAAAATCATTTCTATGAATAAGAACACTCACTATCTCCTCTATTAACATACGGTGCAAAAGTCTTTGCAATAATGCCAAACGTTGTTAGACTATGTTGGAGATTTTTAATTCAGCCGAGTTTTTTCTTGTTGGAAAGAGCAGTGTCTGTACTTCAAATTTTGTGCCAAACATATTTTTCTAGGACGAATCTGGAAATGAGGAAAAAGGCAAAAACTAAACGCATGAAAAAAGGTTCTCGCAACTTCACCATCCAGCAGTATCGTTTTCTATTTCTATTGAATTTTTTTAAAGTGAAAAACAGAATAAATCACGATCAATGATGATTTTTGTAGCGTAAAGGACGCTCTTTCCAATGATGTATTGAAAGGTAAATTTAGTTTTCGTTTTTGTACTGAAATGCTGCTTTTTTCGAGAGAGACTGACAAATTTGGTCGTTCACGCAATGTGACCATTTTGAAACTGCAAAAGAGATTTGTTAAGTTATTTTTGCTGCCGAGTTTCTAAGGTCTGATATACTTCGCATAAATAATGCGAACAAATAAAGTTCATACATGCTTCCTGGTAGATATTCTTGAAATTGATAGTTTTTTTCAATGAGTATCCTTTTACAAAAATTTCGTTTTTCAATTTTTCTTATGAACGACTCGAGAATGAATCAAAAAATCTTCCACAAGCTGGAATCGATAGAGTTTTTGCAACTCTTCATTGTGGTGTATGTTTTGTTAAAATTCTACTCATGTAGTCTAAGATATTTCTGAAATACCGATTTTTCTAGGTTGCACGAACGTTTTTTCATGCGTTTAGTTTTTGCCTTTTCCTCACTTCCAGATTCGTCCTAGAAAAATATGTTTGGCACAAAATTTGAAGTACAGACACTGCTCTTTCCAACAAGAAAAAACTCAGCTGAATTAAAAATCTCCAACATGGTCTAACAGCGTTTGACATTATCGCAAAGACTTTTGCACCGTATGTTATCATCAATGACAATAATAATAATGTATCTTACATTCACCTCGTTTTCTTGAAGTTCTCATAATTTTTCACACTCATTTTCACAGGATATCATCACTCCTGGCAACATCATTAAAAGTAGCTATGAGTATAACTGTTATTCTCAAGTCGAAATAGAATTAAGTTGCAAATAAAAAAAAGTAAATCAGACAATGATTGGAACGTCCTTAGATCATGTGCTGCAAAATTTAAGTATCAATAGTCTACTACAGTTTTTTCTTTTCATGCTGTACTCAAATCATAGTGTGATATTTTGACTGATTATACGTAAAATGATGTTGATCACTCGATAGTAATTATTTTGCATGTAGAGAAATCTTAGCAACGCACGTAGCATCGCAACGAAAAGCTGAGACTACACATTTACTAATAAGACTCCAAATATCAGCAAGCTTTCTAGTAGTCAACTTCGAGTCGAAACTCATAGCAAACAAGGACTCAGAAAAAACGGAAACAAATAGCATGCTACAAGATTAGAATGAGCAATCAATATTTTATTTAAAAAGAATTAAGTAATGATGTCTTATCGATTTTGCCTGTAGTGAACTCTACTTATAAAAGTTTCTAGACATCTTTCTCTCTCGTGTTGTCTCTCATTCAAATGTACAGTTTGTAAGCCTGTTCATTTATTGCTAATGTTTTACTATGACTTCAGTCCTTAACCAACTCGTCGTAATTGATTAGCGTAATCGCGAATAGCCAAACTAAGCAGATAGACACTGTCTGGAATTATATTCGAATAAATATGCATATCGTATTGATTGACCCAAATCAATGATTGAACGCGCATGTAAAATTTTGCCAAACAAGTGTGATCGCTTTGATTTCCATCATAAAAGGAAGTTGTGAGCGAAGCAGGCTCCGTATCCATAGACAGACGAGAGTCATTCCATGAGATAGTCCAATGCTGACCTAATATTTGATAATGCTGAACGATAGTACCTTTGAGCCATTTTTTAGTATCTAAATTACGTATTTTCAATGTACCTTGGTAAACTGCTCCTTTTTTCGATGAATACGCTTTGCCGACCGCTTTTTTTGATGGGTAGGCAACGAGTTCAATTGATTGTCCAAAACTTATATACGACTCAAGACGATACTGAAGATTCTTGCCAGTTCGATCATAAATAGAAAATTCTCTCGCTTTAAATCCTTGATAAAAATCCTCTTCAATGACATATTGACGTTCTGGTGTTTGGGCTAGAATAATATGGACTAGAACTAAGATGATAATCCGAATCATCTTGAATGATTATAATAGATATCTAAAAAAAAGTAAATAACTGGAAAAAAAACGAGCGATGGCACTGAAAAGTGAACGATGAAAGCTACAAGTTATAGTGCACTTTTCGATTCTTCATCATCCATTATAAACAAAAGGTTATCCTAGTGCACAATTACATCTTTGCAAGTGAGAAGAAGAAAAAATCCCGTAACATGATACTATAGATATGATTAATTTCTTTTCTTAACTTATTTTCTTCGTTAAAAGCCATGTGATTGAAATTCATTGAAGCATTGATATGGTTAGGCAAAAAATCCATGATTTAGGTTATTTTTATTTCAGAAGACGTGTAAAATAATTTACGTAAATAAAAAAATATACTAGAAAACGATGATAACATGATGAATAGGTTGAAAGTATAAAGCGTCCGAACACAAGCCATTTCCTCTTATTGCTTCTTCGGTTTTCATTATTTGGAATTTGGAATAGAAAACGAAGTCTCAAAATATTCGACTGTTTCATGAAATCATCTGTATGTAAACTAATATCCAATATTATACACCGGAAAAGCAGATGTTGCCAAAGAATGTAAGCATTGAGTTAGAAGATAAGAAAAATGAAGTTGTTTTATTTATTGAACACAATTAAAGATCTTATTACCTGTATCATCATGCCCTTGTACAAATAACAAAAGTCGATAGAATTTCTTTACAAACATTATAACCACTTGTTTTTTCGGTAACAAAGAAATTTCAATTAATTGTACAGAAAAAGTCCAGTTTTGTTTGAGCTTTTTTTATGAGACAATAGCATCGATTACTCGTGTAGAAAACCCTGTTCAGTTCAAAAATAAAGTGAACTACATTTCTAACGAGAAAAATAACATTCGCAGAAGAATGCTCATTTTTTACACATACTATTTATCGGTAGAAATTTTACTTTTTTTATACTTCTTGAGACGTTATGTCTAATTTCATTTAATTTCTTCATCGATTGTTAAATCTGTCCCACCATGTATATTCTAGAAACAAGAACAACAAACAATACCTCTTGTAGCATCTCTTCATGTCAATGCAAAATTAGACTATAGTATCTCTGATCGTGCTATTTGCGATGAATCAGTATGAGTGTAAATCCCGTCACAAAAAAAAGGAATGGATAGGTTGTCTTGATTCAATTATAGATGAATATGATTTCTCAAGCATTTTTAATGTCGATGAATCAAATCTCTTTTTCAAAGCATTCCTGGTGAAATTATGTGTTTTAAATAAAAACGAATGCGACAGAGAAAAAATTTTGAAAGAAAAATTTTTCAGTTTTGTTAGATAATTTTCTATTAAAATTGTTATACGTAATGTTAAACTACAATGACTGCAATTAATGCAGTGTCTTGGATTGATTCAACATGGAAATCTACCACTGATACGACAACTAAAAAGGCGTTATCAGCTGCGGCCCAGATCAAGTAGGCACGATCGTAAACTACCGCATGCGAAGTCCAGAATCCTCGACCTGTTTACTTCCAAAGCATAGCAAAAATAACTAACGATAAAATAGATGCACTTTTTTCTGCAAATGAAATTAATGGTGAAGCGTTATTTTTCGTATTCTATTATTTTTTTTTATCTTGTAATTTGTTCAATCTAAAGTTTGTGCCATCTGGCATTTTTGATTTTATACTCATGTATGCGATGCTATGTAGTGTTTTATTCATATTCGACGAAGTCATTTGATTTCGTATCATTGTTGTTTCATTTCGGTTTTTGTGATTGAATTGGATTAATATAATAAATTTACTGTAGAAAGAAATTGTTCAGCTTCTTTTTTTTAACAAAATGGAGAAATGGCAAAATTTTTAGAAACTTGTAAGTTTGTTGAATTAATGGAAGTTTTTATGAACACTTAGTATAAACAAGATTGTCTTACAAGTGCAGGAAAGGTTTAGTTGTCTGTGAAGCGACTTCAATCGACGAGATCCGAAAGCGAAACTATAGTGTACTACTTTTTTCTAGAAGTATTTTTAGGATTTCATTATATTTTGTATCATTGCCTCCATATTCTTTATCATATATTGAAATATATGTAATCAAGAAAAAAAAACAAGAAATATATAAAATATTTTATATAAAAATTCATCAACTAGAACTTTAATCATGCATTTTGCAACGTATGAATATTGATTAAGTGCGGATTCAGAATCTGGGTGTGAGCGTCTCTGTTGATAATCACCGAATCGAGACAAACGCTCTTACATGGTTATACCTCACGCCTGCATCCATCTACTATCATGAAAAAAACCAGTATGATTCAAGTTTCGTGCTTGCGTCACATTGTATGACTAATATCGCTTTTCCTTGTATACCATAGAAGAAAAAACAAAAAAATGCTTTTGTCACAAACACAAAAAATCGCGAAGAAGTAAGAAACGAAACGAAACGAAACAAATTGATTTTGGTGAGCTTCCACATGTACCGCTGTATTATTAACGTATTTTGTTTTTGCAAAAGTTGTCAGGACTGAAATAAAACAAGTCAGATATGCAAACTTCTTCTCGAGGTGGAATTCGACATCATCTCGTCATCTGGCTCGATCCCAATGCTCATAGATCAGCCAATTATGATAAATCTTGTGAGTTTATACGTGCCATCGTCAATTCTATCGAAGCATTTTCTGATCCCGATAAATGCATTGATTTTCTTACCGATCGAGATGATTCCGATGAACAAGTCGTTCTCATTTTATCCGAGACATTTAGTGAAAATATTATTCCATTAATTCACGCAATACCACAATTACATTACATTTATATACATGGTACAGATATAGATCAGTCGAAAAACGTTTCCTGGACAAGTGGGTACGAGAAAGTCAGAGGTCAACTATGGGAAAATCTTCAATCTATAGGTGAACAGCTGAAAAAGGATATTATTCAATGTCAAAATGAATCTGAAGCTATTTCATTTGTCTCAGCATCAGAAATTGCAGCTGGGAATCGTCAAGATCCATCATTTATCTATACCCAATTACTCAAAGAAATTTTATTGACGAATTATCTAACTGATTCGGAAGAGGAAGCACGATGTCAAATGATTGAGTTTTGTCGAAGAATTTATATGAATAATGCAGCTGAACTTCGGGTGATAGATGAATTCGAGCGAGAATTCTTTCCCGAACAATCTGTCCATTGGTATACGCGAGAATGTTTTCTCCATATAATGCTAAACAAAGCATTGCGCAGTCCCGAGCCAGATATTCTTTATAAATTTCGTTATTTTCTTCGTCATCTCAATGAACAAATAAGAATCATAGCTGCTCAACAATGTATATCGCAAAAGTCGATCACTGTATTTCGCGGTCAAGGTATGCCAACTGATGAATTCAATAAACTGAAGAATGGCATCGGTGGTCTTCTCTCGTTTAGAAGCTTTCTTTCTACAAGTCTCGATTCAGAGGTAGCATTCGCATTTGCGGAACCATTCAAATATATTTCCGATCAAACATCGATCGTATTTTTAATGAATATCGATCCAAGCATTAAACAATATCCATTTATTCACGTCGATAATATGAGTTATTATCAAAGTAGCGAACAGGAAATCTTGTTCACCGTGGGAACCGTTTTTCGTATTGATGCTGTTGAAAAATTGAAAGACGATCAATGGCAAGTACGTTTAACTTCAAGTAATGACATTGACATGAATCTAGTTCAATATATGGAGTATACACGTAAGCGAACACGTTGTAGTCATCCATTGATAGGCTTAGTGAAGCTCGCTGATGAAATGGGTCAGTACAAGATGATAGATCGGTTGGCACAGATTTTTACTGAGAATGATTTTCCTTCTCAAATTCCATCTGTAATGAATCAAATGCGACATGCACTGGGCTCGGCATATTTATCGGCAGGAAATCGAACGAATGCTCTTACACACTTACAAGAAGCACTGAATATCTATTTGGAGTACTTACCATCCGATGATCAAAGTCTTTCGTCAACATATAATAATATTGGCAGTGTTTATCATACTTCTAAAGACTATGAGATGGCACTCACATATTATCAGCTAGCACTTGACTGTCAATTGAATTCACAAGATCCAGATTTCGATTCTAGTGCTACCTATTCCATGAATTTGGCCGCTGTTTATGAAGCTCTAGGACGCTACGATGAAGTATCAGCATGTCAAAAACAGGCGTTAAAATTTCGGCAACAAAATCATGGCGAAAATGACTTGACACTACTGGATATGTATAGTGCAATAGGACGGGCGTGCTACAAAAAGCAAGATTACGCAGAAGCAGGTTAGTCATTGTGTATTAATCAGTGGATTCATAGTGTCTTTTCATATGTCAATCAGTCAGTAATAAAAAAAATACTCAAACAACAAGGCGGAAGAGGCGTGAGAGATTCTCAGTGTTGAATTTCTTACAAACAGTATTATTTTTTCTTTAGCAACATATAATGAAAAAGCATTGGAAATTCAAGAGATGACTTCAAGTGCTAATCCGGTGTCTTCCATCAATTTTCTCCTATCGACTGGACAAATATGTCTATCACAAGGTCAATATAATGATGCTATTGATTATTTTATGCGTGCGCTAGATCTACAGACACAGTATTTATTGTCGAATAATCCATCGTTTTCAAAAACATATCATAATCTCGGTTGCGCATACTATCGGCAAGACAAATTCGCTGAATCAATACCATACTATCAGAAAGGACTGGATATTGAACTGAACTCGCTAGCTGATGATCATTCAGCGATTGCTAGCAGTTATTTTAACTTGTCAACTGCTTATGCAGGAATCCTACAATATGATGAAGCATTACAATGTGCACGCAAAGCAGTGGAACAATTACGAAAAAGACCCGATCCGAGTACATTGGAATTAAGCCAGTACATTATTCAAATAGGAATTGTTCTTGATAAGCAGACCAAATATTCTGAAGCCATTGCCTATTACCAAGAAAGTATAGCTGTTAATGTTAGTGTTGTCGGCGATAGTAATGCATCGCTAGCTAGCGACTACTATCGTATAGCCGAGACTTATGTGAAATTAGATAACCATTTGGATGCATTAGCTTTCTACCAAAAAGCATTGGAGATTGAACAAAATACTCTAGCCGATGATCATTCATCTATTGCTGTTACACATTTTAAAATCTCAAAGGCACACATGGAAATGGCACAATATGATGAAGCCCTCAAACATGCACACCAAGCAATAGAACAACTACGGAAGTGTTCGGATTTGGGCATAGCTGCACTTGGCCCGATGATTCTCCATGCTGGATATAATCTTTATCAGCAAAACAAGTGTTTCGAAGCTGTTCGTTATTATGAAGAAGCTCTTTCACTCTGTGTAGCTTATATGCCTGAAAATGACCCACAATTAGCGACCATATATTATAGAATAGCCAGTGCTTATTTCGAGTTGGGTAATTTCACTGAGGCACTGCTTTACTATCAAAACACATTGGAAAACGAATTGCTGACCTTGCCTAGCAATGCACCTACAATTGCTACGACCTATGAACACTTGGCTGCCACTCTTGTTTGTCTTCGGAGATTCAATGAAGCAATCGATGCCTACCTGAAAGGGATCGATCAACTTTTAAAGACACATCCATTGGATCATCAAGATGTAAATAAACTGCGCATAGCTTTGGAAACAATCATGGCTCAGTAAGTTGAAATTTTTAGGAAATTCAGATAAAACGATTTTGAGAAAAATAAGAACAATATCTTTTCCGGATTGGATTAGGTTGTATCGTTAGATGATGTATGAAATTTTCGAAGAAACGCCATTTAACAGATGATTTGATAAGTACTTTTCAGCAGTGTCATTATTCCAAAATTCTAGAATTTTCATAGAATTACCGGAATAATAAGAATTATGAGAATAACTAGAATTTTAGAGTAGTGAACTAGCCTGAAGTATGAAATTTTTAGCGTTTGAGAGAGGCATACTTCTTGAGTTTGGCATAATGAGAATTTCAAGATAAGCATAAAGTTTAAGAGTGCCAAATTATTAAGAATACAACATTGTACTCGATTTGTTGATTGTCGTAACTTATAATCAAATATTGTGGGAATTTGTAGACCTATAATAAAAAAAAGTCTACTATTCATGTAAATTCGCATAATAGATGGCATAAAACACACATGGAGAATTCATTGTTTTAAAACTGTATGCATGGATAATAACTTGTACATCAAACTAAATCAAATAGTACAGTTTTTTTTAATATTGCAGCTGTACAAATTATCACAATCAACAATCAACAAATCGAGTGTAATTTTGTATTCTTAATAATTTGCACTCTTAAAATTTATACTTATTTTGAAATGCTCATTATTACAAACTCGAGAAGTATAGTTCTCTCAAACCCTAAAAACTTCACCTATCGGGCTAGTTTACTACTCTAAAATCTGATAATTCTAAAATTGTGATTATTCTAAAATTCTAATCATTCTAAAATTCCGATAATTCTAGTTATTGTGAAGTTCTCATTATTCTACAATTCGAATATTCTGATTAATTCGAATGATTTCAGAATTCTATGAAAATTCTAGAATCTTGGAATAATGACAGGACTCTTATTTACCCTATTTTCTATTCTAGATCCATCGACAACGTCCAGAACGATAAATGATGATTTTTGCTTTCTTAGTTTTTATAATCATACATTTGTTTTTTTTGTGTATTGAATTTTCTCGGATCGGGAATTCACACATGTGGTTCTGTCCTTCAAGCTTGTTTTTATTTATAACAAGAAGCTAATGATAGTTAGTGAGCAGTTTCCCAACTAGTGATAATAATATTCTTATCAAAATTTGTGGCACACTTGTGAGTGTGCATGCGATTTGATGGGTGTTTGTACATGTTAATGTCGGTCACACATCCATCTATCCACATCGCTCGAATGTAGCCTCATTTCAAACAAGAAATAATGAATTTTCAATATTGGCCAACTTCATATCATCGGTTATTTGTTTAAAATGTTGACATATTCCCACTACTGAAAGGAGGGTATTACGAAAAACGAGTTAAATGCGTTTGTTCGTTCGTCCAATAGGAAAGCAGATGCATAAACTTAACTAAACTCAAGCAAAATCTGTAGAAATAGGTTTTACCGAAGGTAATCGGGGTGGGAAACACAGTGGTGTTGTTAGTTTTTTGAAATTTTGTAGTTCAAGCAAGTTTATAATCAATTAGGAGCAGTTTATATCGTCGCATTTTCGTGATAGGAATTCTTTGTAGGGGAACTTTTTTGAGGGTACCATTCGATGGTGTTTATAGTGTTAGATGTATCGTATGGTTATGTGAAATCTTATTACGAATATGTTATAGTCATCTTGCGGTGGAATTGATTCTCAATTTGGCAACGACTAGCCGCTCACCTGCACTAACGTAAGACGTTGAAAGCTTTTTTCAAAGTCTTAGTTTATTCTTGGTATGTCAACTTTTATTGTAGCACGAGGAATTTATTCAAGCTTAACTCCTAGAATTCTAGATTAGGACATCTACAAACGGCGCGAACTGGATAAGTACTCAGGAATCTTGTCTTATTCTTCTCTAAATTGTGAGTAACTTATCGCATATGTAGATGAAATTGAATTAAATTAGTCCCATAACAGTTGTTTTTGGGTTTCTTGAAAATTCTCTTTGTTTTCATCTAATAATTATATAATGAAGCGAAGTTTTCAATCAATCATGCAGTGTTTAAAATAATCACGTTCACCGCATATATACAACGAAACTAGTGGAGGCGACTACCCGCTCAGTTAAAAACCTGTTGTGATTATAAGACTACAGGCCTTGCAGACGTATTGAATAGTTACACGTTGTCTCCATCAGAAAAGTTGAAACAATTTTCGAAAATGGTAAACATCTTCAAGTTCTTCCGAAGAAAGGCCATGAAATAATTGCTCAACTCGTGTGAAATATTTGAAATTTATATTTGTTGTGATTATCTTAATAAGTTTAGTTTTTACTGATTGCGAGTGGATTTGATTCAAAAGATGTAAATCTTAGATTTATCTGTCTGTGAGCGTGCACCCGGAAATGAATATATGCATTCTAGACGGAAAACGCGCCGAAAGCAAAATGAACCCAGATGGATTTGAGCAAAAATGAGGATAAAGCTAACTGAAATCGAGTTAGAAAAAGTCAGTTTGATTTGATCTATGATTTACGCGTGCAGATTCATGTTAAATATCTAGTTCATAGACCAATTTGAGTTGTAACTTTACTAAAATCGGGTATTTCGACCATAGCCCTCCTGAATGGATCTTTTTCTTCACTCTGTTATCGAGCTGATTGAAAGTTTTCGGAGCATAGCTGGAGTTGTAGCAGATCGGATGCACTTAAATTCACTATCGCCGTAGACTATTAGTAAGTAGTAATTAAATGTCGTTTTCTTGGTGATACTTCCAAGCAAGTTTTCTATTTATGCTCTGTTATCAATCGTGGTTTCCATGAAAATTATTTCGAAGCTATAAAATATGAAGTCTCTCAGTTAGATAATTTTGGATAGCTACGTTCTACATGACTAAATTCTTTCAGTAGAGGGTTGGCGACGCTAACGTCAAGATACCTTGTGTATAAGTAATAAAAATCGGAAAATGATAACATTATGTATTTCCAACAGAAACATTATGGATTGGGATAAGCTAAATAATGAAATACATTTTAATATAAATGAAGTGTATATTTTTTGTGACTCATTTAATGATTATATACTCATGCAAAAATGGAATGGACGTTATCAGCATACAATTCGTGGTGTATATTCACCAGATCAAGTTGATTATAGGCTATTAAGACTTGATGTCGATTATATATGGTCAATATTACCAGAATTCCAAGAAGATCGAGGATTGAGCAGAATATTCCGTGCTGATGCAAAACGGTTGCTAACAGCTTTAGAAGAATATTTTCAAGATCAAACGAATGATGAAGATGACGATGGTCAAAATGAACATTAAAAATAGTTAACCGTCTCCTTTTCTATAGAATTAAATCCAAACTTAATAAATAAAACTAAGTATTAGCAGAAGAATCAATTCATTTTCGGCGGCTCCAACTTCACCAAAAAGTATTGAATCAAATATGATCGAAGCTTAGTATCAAATTTCATTCTAGCTATTTAGTTTATTAGCGAATCGATAAATATTAGAAATCGTTAAGGACAATAAATTAAATAGACATGTATAAATAATAACATTCAATAAAATAAATTCAATAACTACGCAATATTCGATGCTTCGATGACTTATATTATCATTCTTTTAAAGATTTTTCAGGAAAATGTTGAGTACGCGAAGAACGTCAAGAAGGAAAGCGAAAACTAGAAATATTGCTGTTAATAGAGATCATTCTATTACCGCTGCTGATTGTTTAGCTAGTTTCTATTGTTGTCTTTCTCTGGACATTGGAATGATTATCTTCTCTTTTTGCTTGTTGCTCGAGTTGTTATATTTTTCTGGATGTGGGACGGAGAAGATCCACATTCACTCACACCCGCACTCTTATGCAAACATAACAGATGCTTCATAAAATAATAGTACTTTGGTAATACACCCTCGAGATAGCATGCACTTGCTTTTTTTTCAAAAATCTTATTTCTGATGATAACGAATACCGTTCTTTGAGAAAGAAACGGTTTAGATTGAATGATTACTTTTAATGCAATAAAAAAATATGGATAAACATTTCTTTAATGGTAGAGTAATAAAGCTCGAAGATTTAATCATCAATTTTGCTTAGTTATCTCTTTGTTGGCCAATTTTCAAAAGTCAACCGTTCTTACAACAATGCTAGCAAATGTAAAATCTCGTTGTAGTGGTAGGCTTTCACATCCATTACAACTTTTATTTTTGCTATTAAAAATAGCTTTTAGACAGATTTATCGTTAACAAAACATGGGAAGAATTTTTGATAAAGCATCGATATACAAAGTACCATTTCCCATCGACGGAACGAGTGAGCCGCTAGTTTCGCTACTTTCATTCCATGCATAAATGATTATTGTTTGTGCTTCAGCTGTTTGATTGTGAGTACATGTAAAATTAATTCCACTTCGAATTAACTGTTGTAATTCTTCAACTGTTGGCTGAATATAATGTTCTGGTCCTTCATTAACCCATGGTACTGGATTCTCAGCACGTGGTCGCGGATCCCAACCAGTAGGAGCGATGGGTACTATTTTAGCACCAATGTCAGATGCAGACTGCCACCACCTAGAAAACAGGATATGTATCTATCAGAGATGTCCACAAAGTGATTTTTTGCAGCCTGTCCTGTCCTGTCCTATTCTACCCAGTCCCTGCCCTGTTCGGTCCTCTGATCAGGGCAGGACGGGGTACCCTGCTGGATCAAAATAATGTCTGTGCTGTAATTTTCAATATATTTCAAAACAACAAGGCATTTTCGTCATTGTAGCATAGAACATTTATTATTTTAGAGCCAGTCCAGATAAGTCACGGTCGATCCTGCTCAATCAACGGTGCTCGATTAAACTGATACTTTTATGCATGATAGAGGCAAGTGTTTGATGAATTGAGCTCATATTTTAAGTAAAAATATCTCAACTAAAGATGCACATATAGTAAAAATTTCAAGCGAAAAAAATATTTTCTCGAAGAGATTATAGGTCTGAGAAAAAATCCCAAAATATCATTTTATGATGAGGATTCTCTTAGAAAAATTTTATTATCTCAAGAACGGAAGAAAATATTTTGAAATGGCTTGCGTAGAAACTCATGAGACACCTGTTCCTATCGAGCATAAAATAACGAGTAAAATTGACGACCATCGATTGAGCAGCTTCTGTTGGAACGAGTCGTGGTTTGTATGGATTGGGTCAGATAGAGGGACTTCTGATTATCAGTTGGTGTCGCTCACTGGAGTCTATTTTTATTTTTAAATCTTGCAAACTAAAGAAAGCATTTCTTCAAAACGGAAATTCAAACAACTGGGTTTTTACGTTGCACGGTATAACTTTCACCCTTCCCTGTGAACATCTCTGGTATCTATAATAAAAAGCTTTTTGATTTACCGTTGAGCTGAATTAAATAATTCAACAAATGGAGTTCCCTATTAATTATGATTCAAATGAATTAATATAGATATAGTTAAAATAAGATTTATTTACATCGATTGTTCCACCAGGTAATGCATATGTTGAAATTGCATCAAATCCAAGCATAGAAGCATGCGATTGAACTGTTCTAACATCAAAATCCATCAAAACTAAGTAAGGATTTTGAAGGCCTATGAAAGAACGGATCATATAGTCTAAGGAATAGATACATAGTTTTATCATTTACCTTGACTAATAGCCATTTGTCTAAATTTTTGAAATACTTGTCCGCTACCGAGCCATCCACCTCCACACTTGTCCGCTTCAGCATTGTCGAATTGAAATAAATATAAAAGTGGACGACCTCCTCGTACAGTTTGAAATTGAGGAAGTTTCATAAGATCAATATAACTTTGTTGAAAACTGGCATCACACGGCGACGAACCCAATAAAATAAAAGTAAAATTGAGTAAAGATTTATATTCACTTGAAAGATATAAATTTAATCCATAAGCAGGATTTCGAGGACAATACAGATTTGAAGTTTGTGTATAATATTGACTGCAATATGTATTATTAGTAGTACAATTGCTTCCAAATTGACAGTATGTATCGAATGCCCAATAATCTATACCAGCATGTTTAGCATAAAGAATTTCTTGATCCATGACATTTTGTAAATCTCCATTGAAAGAAATATTTGTAGGCGAAAGAACTGATGCATAAAACGGAATACGATAATGAAATTTTTCAGGGCTCAATGCTCGATGCAAATAAAACGAAATAGGATCATATTGATTGTTGAATAAATTCCAAGCATCCCAACGGATAATACCAACGGATGGTCGATTATTTATAGCTATTTCAGTCGAAATAGCAATAGACACAACGGAAATTACGTAGAAGAATACATTTGATAATGTCATCTCTAATATTTAACTTTGTTTCTAGTAAACAAAAAAGTCACACACACACACACCTGTATATATCATTCTCTCGTTCTATTGTTTCTCGATGTATCTATATCTTTAACCATAAGGTTTGTACCGAGCCCTTTCTTCAATTTAAAAGTCTTATTTATTCATATGATAAAACATATAAACAGAATGTCATTAATGCGGTGCGAAGCACAGCATTCATGTAGTCCGTCGCGAGTTTTTTTTGTTTCTTTCTAACTCGAGTACGCATAAAAGTTCTCATAAAGTAGCGCGATGATCTAGAGAACCGTAAATGATAGAAAATCCATTCAAACTAGATATGAAACTATGAGGTCGAACTTGTTATATCTTTTTTCCAATTTTCAATACTAAGTTTCGTTCGCCTAAAAGTATCATTCGAAAATGATGATTTTGAAAGGTTTTACTGTTTGATAGTTTCGAAATAATTAAAATGACATCATCAAGTAATAGTACTCAATCGTCTATTTCTTCGCATCTGATCTAAGATACCCAGGTCGAACAGTACGGTCCGTATACGGTCGTTTACGGTTAATTTACGATTATTTTACGGGCGAAAGTTTGCCGTAATATCTGGCGCAGTAATACGGACCGTATGATCATGAGAGTACGGAGCACAAACAGCCGTAAACCATGAAAATTCAGTCCCGTTTACGGTGCCGTATTACTGTGACAGGTATTACGGGCAAATACGCCCTATTTACTGCCGTAAATATACAGTTTTGGCATCGTTTACCGTCGATAAATAGACAGTAAACGAGTCCGTTTTGATCACATTGGGTAGTGACTCATTGAAATAATTTAATGTTCAATCAAAAGCATTCTCTAGGATTATGGTGATTATCACGAAAAAAAAATTTCTCAGCAATGAATTATATTATAATTACTTAAGAACTAAAAAAATGTAATGATTTTTTTTTGTTACAATTGCTGAAGACAGGAAAAGGTGTATATTTCAAGCGAATATGAAACTAATCAGACCATAACGATGTCTAATTAAGTTTAAGATTGCTTGTTCCATTTCCGCTATTTTTTTATTTTTTCGTGTACTCAACTCGCACTTCGCACCGCATTTCGTATACGAGTGAAACTCGAATACCATCTAGTTATCAGAGTGCGCTGATTTGATTTTTATTAAAACCGATCATCAATATTCTTGGAGAATGTGCCAACACGACCTTCAGAAACCCATTAACAGTCTAAGCACATAGTTTATTATTTTAAAATATGCCGATAGAACGTCTAAAAAACTAGTGAAGCCCTGCAATCAACCGCATCTTGTTTTTCTCGTTGTATTTCATTACAATGGTGCAATTACATAATACATGAGTATTTACAATTTATTCCTCCATTTTTTCCGTCTTATTGTATAGTCGTCACATGGCATCTTGTATAGTTAATGCTCGGAGTAGTCGCTATTTACCTAAAGTTTTAGCTTCGACAACAGAAAACTATGAAACAGAACATTTTCATTATGATCATTCAACAAATTCAATTGATTGTAAACTTTTAATAGAAAATCCATATTGTTCTTATTTTCAACAGATCTATCCAACAATAGTAAATGAACATGAATTAAATGAAGATATGTTAAATGTGATTAAATCTTATACAAATAGTCGTGCCAATGAATGTTATATAAAAACAAATCTTAATTTACTCAGTGCAAATTTCGATGCTATTGATTGGTTATATGTTAATAAACTTCGTTCATTAATTCGAGCTTTAAATCAATCGAACATAAAACATGTTTATTATCGTGGTTTAACATTAAGTGATAAAGAAATACAATATTATATAGATAGAATCGATGGATTTTATTATACAAATTCATTTTTATCATTTACAACCGATCGTTTATTAATCTATCCTGGTAATGCAATAATTATACTAAAAACCGATAATTCAAGTGAATTAGCAAAGAAAAATATAGCGCATATATGGAAATGGAGTGCACATACTGATGAAAAAGAAGCTCTTTTAGCTGTGGGGACAAAATTAAAAGTTTTAACTGTACATTATTTTGGTTACAAATGGGAGATTGAAGTTGAACTAGTTGCAGACGAAGAAGAAGATCAATAAATAAAATGAAATTGATAGGAAAATGACTGTTTGTAACAACAGATACTCAATCTCTATATGAGGATATAACTATAACTATGACTATGTCGTGTTGTGTGTTTTTATTTTATACTCAACTTTTATTTAAAAAAAAGGGCTTAGCTTTTTCCAAACGTAAAATGTTTGGCATGAAAATTTTCATTAGATTTTATCTTATTATCCCAATGAATAGATTCTATTTTGATAGATGCAAAGCACATGAAAAAAATCGTTTATTTGAGTAACAAACTCGATATAAATTTTTTTAGCATAGATTAAAGAATCAGTTTGTCTAATTTATTGACAAATTGATGAATCGTATAAAATCAATAGAAGCTTAAAAAGAACATATTTTGTAATTTTTAAATATTAACCCACTGGATTTGCTGGTACAATAGAACGTCGAATGAGATAAATTGATGTATGCTAAAAAAAATAGAAAACAATAAAAATACCTCATTGATATATAAAATAACTTCTTACTCCATTAGTAACCGCTGGAACAATCTTTTTAGGATCATTTTTTTCGAAATCACTTAAATCCACTGGTCCTTGTTTCATATGTGGATTTCTTGTATTACGTACGAGAACGACACGTCGTACGGGTACTGTTTCTGTACGTGGACTATCATTGTTGTCATTTGTCTGTCGTGGTGTTGGTGAAATTTTCGTTGGAGATAGAGACCGTACTGCTCTTGATTGTGAGGTTTTTGATGGCATATTATGTGTAGCTTCATTTTTTGGTGTCGGATGAACTTTATTATTTTTATCCGATGAACGAAACATAAAGCGTTTGCTTACTGAATTATGTTTTGTTGCCATATACGTACGATGGAAATCAACTGTAGTTTATTCGAAAATTTATGCTTTCTTGATTGAATTCAATACCGTTATACGCACATTTTCTTCATAGTGTGGACTTAAATAGAGTTAATGTACAACATGACGGAGAAAATGTTAAAGTTTGTATTTTCTTTTTCTGTTGTCTTTTAATAAAGAGAGAAAAAAATGTTTTGACTTTTTCGATCAATTTCAAAATAGCCCATTTATTCCCCAGTATTTCCTACGCAAATAGATCGTGGGGATTTTTTCATCTAAATATGGATTCATTTCAAAGGGAACAATTTGAAAGAGCAAACCGTTTTGATTCCTTTCCGATTGTTCTCAATGCATATACGTAAGTAGGTCACCTATGAATTACACTTTCTTTCCTATTAAACTTCGATTTCGAACTCCTCTGGCGAAAATACAATAAATTTTAACGTAATCAAAAGACAACATTTTACTATGGAAACAAGTAGAAAGTATAGTCACTGCCCATTCTGTGCGAGATAGTTATGATTTTTTTCGAGGAAAAGCTCATTTCTTATGACACCCGACACACTTATCGGTCTTATCAGTTAGATACCTTAAATATTGTGTATGTAGCAGTGCTGCTGATGTTTATTTGTAACTCGATGCTATTATTTTAATTGAGAAAAAAAGATCGTAAAATAAAAACACAGTTTTTTTTTGTCATTCGTCCCTTCTTTTCTTTTTTCCTTTTCGTTGCATCGCACGCATAAGGCATAATGCTTTCACTCAATGTGTTGTGTATCTAGAATTTTAGTTAAATGGAATAAGGGCAACACTTTTTTTGACATTGATCCTCGACAGACGTTGATGTTTTTCTATTTTTTTGTTTTATTATGATGTTACATAACACTATTGGTTTTGTCTCGGCGCATTATTCATCTGAAGTTCACTAGCTAAATGTTTTGTTTCGATATATGCAGTGACAATCGTTATTAATTAAGAGCTAAAGATCAGAAAGAGAATGTAAATTGTGTATGAATGAATAAAAATAAAAGATAAATATTTCTCCTACGTCAACATACGTTTAGTTTTTTCTGTATTTAAAGTAAGTGCATCAATGATTGGCAATGAAAGAATTGTGTACCAGACGCATTGCTGTGGCAGTTTCTGAAGGACTATTGAATGAAGATTAAACTTGAATGATATTCTTTGCTGAGAAAAATTGACCAAAAATAAAGTGATTTTTAACAACAGTTAGAAGTGAAACTTATTTCTCAAAGCAAAGCTGGTTAAATTGCTGCTAAAACAATTCAAACAATTCGATAGTGACATTTGGTATCCATGTCAAAAGAGCCAGTAAAATGCTTTATACCACCTTTTTCGTTGCAACATGTAAAAGTGCAGTATCTTGGAAAGAATCATACGAATACTTATATCAGTATATATTACATATGAAAAACCTAGTTCTTTGATAAAAAAAGACTAGTGCATGTAGGAATGGTGTTAATTATCTCACGGTGATACACAAAAAATGCTCCGTAAAAATTGATTTTAAACACATGCCAGTATCTTGAATTTGTGTATGACCTAAATATTCATTTTTATTTTTTCCAAAGATCGTATCCAAATATGAATCTTCTTTGCTTTTTAGGAAATACAAATTTGAATGTTGGATAAAGTTTCCCTATCTTCTGCTGTCGTTATCTATGCAACAACATTGTATTGAAATAAGATTTTCCAAATTGTTGCCAATACTCAGTTTTTCTTCCATATGTTTTGAATATTTCAAATCAAAAAAAAAATAAGTAACGTTTAAAATCTGTTTTGATTTATTAGTTCTACCAAACAAAAAAAGACATATGGACATAATCTATTCTATTCTATCATTACCTTTATTTCATTCTATTTTCATTATTTTTTCTTCTAACAATCTATACAAACATGCAAAAACTATGGATTGGTTTTAAATTGCTATTACTTAGTTGGTCACTGTCTATTGATTGTAAACTTATTCATAGAGGACCATGTAAGCACAATGAAAATATTGAATTTCCATACATATAATTAAAAAAGACAAATTCTTCTAGTAAACGAAACATTACTGACTGGCCAAATTCATGCACCATCCGGTGATCCTGCACGTAATCTCATGGGCATGGTATTATCAATAAATGTATTTGTTAATCATACAGTTCTGCATAGTTCATTGGTACCTATAAAAAACAATACATTTCCATTGAATTATTCCCTTGAGCTTACCGATCATGATTTCTTGTTGGAAAACGCTACTAGCTTTCATATTGTCAGTATGATATGGCAACCAGCTTACATATACGAAAGTCACATTAAATTAAAAGAATCAAAAGTCGATACACTTAATCTCAATATGCGTACAATAAGTAAATATGCGCTGTTGAAATCCTATCGAACCCATCTATGAGTTGTTTTTTTCTTTAGAATTTGTTATTATTCGTGGTGTAATTGTTCATGAAAAACATAATGCAGGTCATGAATTGCCGGCACCTCAAATTAAATTAGAACTTATTGAGAATAGAACAAAAGGTCACATTATCGATCAAGTTGATTTTGTATGTACATCAAAAACCTATCCTTGCCCGTTCGAATATTGGCTTAATACGGCTCGTATTAGAGTCAATATGGAATATAAACTTGAAGCTATTATATCCAATCATGTATTGCCACCAAGGAAGAACACAAATCAAAAGCATGCGAATATACTGGTAGAAACAAGAACAAGTGTACCAAAAGAATTTACAATTAGCCCAACGGTTGATACTGAAATCAATAACTTTAAAATTGTTGTTTTCGATGTTTAATATGTAATTCAACAAGAAAAAAAATGAATATGAAAATAAAAAAAAACATATTTCATTTTGTTATAATCAAGCAACATTCTTTTACTAGATTGAATTAATAAAGAATTTAATCTATCGATGAAGTAGCTATAAATATTCAAATATTTCATTGGTCGTAACAACATTTTATCCCTACAATGCTGAAATATTGGATTTATTTTGAGCAGCTGGTTTTTTTTCTCGCAGTAGGTATACACGCAACTTAGATTCCATAGCAAAACGTTGCAAAAGCTTCCCAAAGAAATCATTTATTTTCACAAGATTCGAATAGAAAAATTGCGCATAGAACACATGGGACCGGACAAATAGAAAATTGATATCAAATTGGTTTCCATTGAAATCTAATTCTAAGATAACCGATGCATAAAATCAGTTCTTTTGAATTATTTTTTAGCTATTGGAGTTCTTATTCTTCTCATTAGCGATTCAATACACAAAATGCTTGTTGCAAGTGACAATGCATGTGATATCGAATTATCTTCTAGTGATTTTTTTCCAGAATTATTCCATGATTAGAAATGCATTCGTACTTTGATAAAATAGAAAGAAGTCCGTGTATTCTGTGGCATCTGCTAGTTTCAATAGTGTAATTGTATGATATCGGTGTTAAATGTTCTTTTTATTCAACACAAAACATTACCACAAAAAAGTTGTATTTCACCCAAATGTATTCTAACGAAAGACTATGGGCGAAGAATCACATATGCTTTCCTCGTTAGAATGAAAGAATTTTAATAACGATAGTGCTCGGGTTTGAATGGACCTGCAGTGTTTAAGTCCAAATAGTTAGCTTGTTCGCTTGTCATTTTACTGAGGCGAACACCTAAATGCTCAAGATGAGCAGCAGCAACTTCTTCATCAAGCTAGAATAAAAAAGAAACGTATGTGAATAAAATAAATATTCCTACAAATGAATTACCTTCTTCGGTAAAATGTAGACACCAATTGGATATTGACTTTTCTTGGTAAATAACTCGATTTGAGCAAGAACTTGATTTGTAAATGAATTACTCATAACAAAACTTGGATGACCATGAGCACAACCTATTATGCAAGAGTAAAGTTAGTATTTCAATTTCTTTTAATTAATCTTTCATCGTACCAAGATTAACAAGTCGACCTTCAGCAAGTAAGATAATCGAACGTCCATTAGATAATGTATATCGATCAACCTATTCGAAAGAATAAGAATGCAAGTAAGAAAAAAAGACTTTTTCGTTCAAAAATTTCTTTACTTGTGGTTTAACGACTTCTTTTGAGACGGCATTTTTTATAAGCCAAGCAACATCGATTTCAATATCAAAATGACCAATATTACAAATAATTGCATTATCAGGCATTTCAACCATATGTTGAGCTAAGATAATATCTCGACAACCAGTAGCGGTTACAAATATACGACCAACTTTGCATGCTTCTTCCATTGTTGTTACTTCATAACCTAAAAAGAAATCAAGGACGATGTCATGTTTATTTAGATTAAAAATCCTCTTATTCAATTCTTTTAAACGAAGATTAAAACAATTCTGATGATATTGCAATGTGCAATATGATACAGCTGTTAATTGGCATTCTCCCTTGATACGGACATGTTCGAGGCTTGCATCGTGACTTATCAGATTGTTTGCGCGGACGGGTACAAATGTTGACCTATGCGCTTGTTACATAGAATACGCTATCAGATTGAAATTCGATCTTTCGACTAATATTTCTCAGGCTAGGATGAAAAATTTTCATATGACAGTATAATACCTTCCATGGCTGCTTGTAAAGCATTGATTGGATCGATTTCAGTAATGATTACACGAGCCCCGAAATTTCTTAAAGCTCGTGCACTGCCTTTACCAACATCACCATAACCGGCAACAACAGCTACTTTACCAGCAATCATAATATCAGTTGCACGTTTAATACCGTCAATAAGTGATTCACGGCAACCATATAAATTATCGAATTTTGATTTTGTTACTGAATCGTTAACGTTAATAGCTGGAATTTTAAGTTTTTCTTGTTTAAGCATTTTATAGAGTGCATGGACACCTGTTGTTGTTTCTTCACTGATACCGAAAATACCTGCTGTCAATTCAGGATATTTATCATGAACAATACCAGTTAAATCACCACCATCATCTAAAATCATGTTCAACGGTTTATTATCAGCACCGAAGAAGATGGTCTACAAGCAAACAATGTCAATCGATTATATTTTTTTTAATAATCAAATATTTACTTGCTCCATACACCAGATGTATTCTTCGTCGGTTTCACCTTTCCAAGCATAAACAGGAATACCAGCTTTAGCGATAGCTGCTGCTGCATGATCTTGTGTTGAAAAAATGTTACAACTACTCCATTGGACCTTGATGTAAATAGAAAAGATTATTAAATAGAAAAAATAAATAAACAAGCTCATACTTCAGCTCCTAATGCAGTCAATGTTTCGATGAGTACAGCTGTTTGAACGGTCATATGAAGACAACCAGCAACACGTGCACCTTTCAATGGTTGTGATGCACCATACGCTTTACGTAATTGCATTAAGCCGGGCATTTCATATTCGGCTAAAGTTATTTCACGACGTCCCCATTCAGCTAAAGTTAAATCAGCTACTTTAAATGGTTGCTTTTTTGTCGGAGCTGTAGACATTTTTTCTTATCGTTTATATTCGAATAACGAATGGAGCTGTACTCTAAAAAGACTAAATATTGTGAAGAAAAAAACTACTTAGAATACCAAACGAAAAATAAAAAAATGCACTCGAAGGACGACACGGTTCGCGCATCTAATCATCCCATATAGTGATACATGTACCATTCGTGCATTTGCATTTATATATATATTATATAACCATGATGTATGCTTTTATTCACGTAATCGACCTCCATTTTAAATAAAAAGAATATTATTATTTCATCGAAGAGTGTCGCTTGTGTATGATGTTTCATTTATTCAAAAATTATACGTACAACGATGTATTTTTAAAGTGTATTAGAATGCGATATAATGGTAAATGTTATTACAGCTGATAGTTCTATTTAGCTTTTCTTAACGTTCTTCAATGTTTATATTAACGTTGACGTTTAGTATCAAATATGAATAGTAATATATAGAAAAATGTGGGAATTCCTTGGATTTATTTCTACGCTTTGTTATGCTTGATAACGAAATGAATAGCTCATCGGAAAACAAACTCACGTCAGCAAACTACACTCTTCTTTTCCCTGCAAGACCTAATCTATTCAGTCAACAACTCCCTGATTCATTGTTCGTTATCAAAATGGTCATTTTAACACTCTAATTGTTTGCTATTTACAATAGATTTTATACTAAATGAAAAACGTTTTGTTAATCTATGCAAAAATTATCCGAATTGAATACAAATCTTTCTATTCATTTTATTTTATTTTATTAAAGCTAGTACAGTATACGATCAAGCAAAAGCAAGCAAAACTATTTCAAGAGTATATTTCATTATTTATTATCAGAAAGATGATTATCTTTTGCGCCCCATATAAACCTAGATCGAAAAGTAAAACAGGAAACTAAATTCATTATAGACAAATTGATTTCATACCGATAAAAAACACCGGCTAAAGTTGCACCAATCAATGGTCCTATCCAATACAAATAATGATGAGACCATACATTAGCAAATATCGCTGAACCTAGACTACGAGCTGGATTGAGCGAACCACCAGTTAACATATTCCTACGTAATCATTTACAATAAGAATAAGATTAATTGCCAATAGAAAAACAAAACCGAGGCTATTATACTTACGACGCAAAAATGCAAACACATAAAGCCATTCCAATATAAATAGGAGCAAACGTACTTTTAGATTTACTGTTAATTGTTACCATGAGAATTACAGTGACAAACACGAATGTGAGTAGTATTTCAATACAAATTCCTATTCAAATTGAATCATACATACATTTCGGATTTTTGAAAGAAAACTTTGAAATATTTTTATTATCATACAAACTACCGAATGCCACTTACCTTCCCACCAATTAATACGCTCCTTGGTCAATTCACCTGTCTCTTTTAAAGTTTCAATTGTCACCAGAAAAGTAGCTCCACCATGAAAACGATGATATGTAGATGTACGTGATATGAGCTAGCGAAAGATACTAATAATATAAATTTCTGATAAAAATAGTTACTCACTCGAAAGATGCCAGCAGCCATAGCACCACCAATTAATTGCATTGGCATATAGAGTAGAGCTTTTTTTAATTTGATATCTCCAGCAATACAAACTCCAAGTGTTACAGCTGGATTGAAATGACCACCACTAAAAAACAATCGCCGAGAATTTAAAAACGATCTACAATCAATACTACCTGATATGACCAAGACTAGCAACAAATATTATCAGTGAAAACCCAAAGGAAAGGCCAGCGATCAATGAATTATTTTTACTATCATCACTGCAAGCACCAAGTAAGCCGATTAAAATGAAGAAAATAGTTCCTATCTAAGTGTAAAAAGAAAAGAAAATATCGAATAATAATATTATTTTGTTCAGCGAAGTCACTTACCAATTCGACTATCATCGGTTGAACGATGCTCGTAAATGTAGTTGTTTTATTATCCACATCGTTCGTTGTTCTTATCAATAAAATCTTTGTAAAACTTTTTCTCTCACATCATAGACGTCTTACTTCGTTATAGTTATAATTTTTCTTGCTGATAATGGTCCAACTTCTAAATTATTGCAACAAGGTGCCGATGGATTGACTGCCATTGAATTCAAACTTTGCATAAATGACAATGATTGTCTCAATTTTCGATTATATGTTATGCTTATCTTTGACATATTTGTTTTTCTTTTGATATTGATTATTTTTTCTTGACGAACTGGTTTCTTGATAACGACGATTGTACAAAGAATCAGCAAATAACAGTTTATTATTTTTTTTTTATCTCTGCTTTATAATGATCTAGTCTATTGATAACAACATAGTCAGCTCTGGATTCAGAACACCGTAGTTTGTTTTTCAATCGATACGAACTATTCATTAATATACTAAACGATCGAGGATTTTATCCTAGTTTGATATCCCAGCATGACTGAAAATTGAAGACTAGATTTGATGAAGATTTCTGAAAGAATTTTCCAAACATTTAAACCATAGTTTTCAAATACAAAGTCCTTTTTATGACACGGAAAACCAAGTGGACTCTACAATGAGTTTTACATGGATTTTTGAAGTTTTGAAAAATAATTGGTGAATTTCTCAGTCGTATTTGTAATTATTCCAATCGCTTAATCTTTTATTTTCATTTGTTTACTAAATCTTAAAAATCTTAATTTTGAAAGAGACACTTGCGATAAAGATTAGGATTAAGTTTCTTAATCATTACAATATTGCGTAGGTATGTTTGTCTGTAATCGATTGCTGACTTCAGTTGTTTTCTTCATCTACTGAAAACGAGAATATTCTTTCGTATTTTTTTAATCAAGTTTAAAAAAAGTAGAATTGAGTTTTGTTGAACACATGTTTGTCATGAAACTCAATAATACGAAACACGAGAAAACCTAATGAAAAGCACTTGTTTTTTTCTTCTTATTTCATACTCAAGTTATTTTCTACTACTAATATCTGAGAAGCAGAATAGAACTAGTGATAAACGAAATTGATTAATACGGTTTTGAACTGATATTTATTCATAATGGATTGGCGTGATTTTTGTCACCATTTTATTCTTCTTTTATTCATTACGATGATATCAATTTTCGTAAGTGATGGTACGTAATGTGAGATAAGCTTTCATTTTTGAAAGATATGAATCAAATTGAAACTGATGCGTTTTTTTTTCGTATACCTAGAACAAACACTAGCGGTTACTCTAGGTATGTTATATGGTAAAATCAAATTTCGACAAAAAGAATTTCGCCATAGTACAAGGGGTCGGTTGCATAACATATTATTAAATGAGACTCTGTCTTTCTATATAGAATTTTCATAATTGAAATTCTTTTTCCATGCAACAAATAGATTCAAGTGCCTTCTAATTTTTCGCATGTTCTAACCAAGAGATTTTTTTTTCTAGAATGAAACAGAAATCTATCAATCGATAGAGAACTTCAAAACAATGATATATAAAACATTGTGATAAGTGGGAGTTTGTAGGAGGTAATTTACATTTTCTGTTTTTACTGACTGTTCTCACAAAAACAAGTTTTGCTGGTGAAAATCGAGCCTGTGAAAAAATCTTGCTTTAAAAAGTGATAGAATGTGAAGTTCTCTATCGATTGATAGATTTCTGTTTCATTCTAGAAAAAAATCTCTTGGTTAGAACATGCGAAAAATTAGAAGGCACTTGAATCTATTTGTTGCATGAAAAAAGAGTTTCAATTATGAAAATTCTATATAGAAAGATAGAGTCTCGTTTAAGAATATATCATGCAACCGACCCCTTGTACTATCTATATTACCATTTGAATCAGATCCGTATCTCCTCCTAGTATGAAAAAGGAATTGAATAAAGAAACGCTAAAAAAAACCTGAACAATCAATTTCGCTTAATATGTTGTCCAAATCCAGATGGCAAAATTCCATAGAACCTTTTATTTCAAGTGTCGAATGGAGCGTAAAAATATACTTTGTTTCAGCAGAAAGCGCTACAAAGGAGATCACTTAGAAAGCAGACTTGAACCAATAGAGCTTCTGAATAATTGATTCTAGTGACACTAAGAAGAAAATTCTGATGTAACTAACGATGAACTTTTATATTAATTAGTATACATGAAGAAACGAACAAATCACACTTTCAGTATCATTCAGAGTTGATATGTATTGGACTGAGAATGATTATGAAGAAGAAGAGAAAGATTCCAGTACTATAGTCTTTTGATTGATACAGGCAATGAACTGAAGTTCTTTACTAGATGATCTTTTAAATTTAACTGTATTCAAATTGAAAATTTAATAAGTCAGTGTTTATGTACCTATGAAGATCGTATCAGGATTCGGACTTATGGCATAATAATGAGTAAATATGGTTGTTTTGAAAATGAGAGTTTCGCTAGTACTACTAAAAATTTATTTGTGGCAAATTTGAAAGATTATGAATTGGTTCTTCTAGAGATATTCGATATGTAGGTCGATTCGAACTTTTAGAAAATAGTTTGAGAAAATTTTTGTTCGTTTTCGCTGAAATAGTTCGATCTATTTAATGGCTATTTAATTTATCACCGAACAAAAAACCAAGTCGCAATTATATCATTAAAGTTTGTCGAAGATGCCTTGTTCACAATGAAAATTTCATTAAAACAGGCCTCAATCATTTTTAATAGACTAACGATATACTCGTAATTATGATGTGTAGTCGAATTCCAGTCGATATCTAAATAGTTTATTTCGCGAGTTTTTAAAGTCCGACCTTCAAAAACATTCTTATTTTTCATCGGCTTCGAACTACAGTTGAATATTAAGTAGATCCGATCGAAAAGATCATCGCCATCCTGTGTCAGAATGATAGTTTATTTTTTATGATGAACACAGAAAAATCGTAGAATTGAACAATTTATACTTTTCAAACAAGAAATATCAGTGAGAGTCCTTTTCTGGTAGGCACTACGGTAACTACAACTGTTGCTACAACAAGTGACAGCACCATTGGCATCAGTCTAACAAGCGTGGCTGCTTCTACTACCACTGTGTCCACTGTTTCAAAGAATAGCACACACAGCTCCATTAATTCTACTGCTACAACTACGACTCACAATAGTAATAATAATACCACTACAATTGTTACGACTACTACAGGTAGCAATACTACGACAACATTGACAACAACAGTTTCTAGCACTACTGCCATTGATACGACTACAGATAGTACTACTGCCCCAGACACCAGCACAGATAGCAGTAATACACCTACGGATGCGACGACTACAATGGCAACAACCGATAGTACCATAATCACTACAAGTAAGCCTGGTTTATATTTTGCTTTCAAAAACTTGTTTAAGAATGGCAATACCTATTGAATATTATATTTTTCATGACTAAAGAGTTCAATGTAAAGTTTCAAGTAATTACAAATTTCGAGCCCATAAAACTTAATGAAGAAAAGCGTCAAAACATGTCTGCAGCAGAAAAATACTATTAACCACTCGAAGTTTTTTGATCTGGTAAGGTTGTACCTGACGAACGTTTTACAGGATTATGTAAAGTTCCTTAAAATAATAAACAGACTTTTTTAAATTAAATCGAGATGTAATTAAACGATGAGTTGTAATACGTGCCGAAACTGTAAGTACTTTCAATGCTGATGTTATATTTTATATGAAGAAAAACTACTAAATTCTTGGCAATGACATAAAAATACTTGTTGTACTTATGCATGATTGAGAAACTATCTGCATACGTATTTGATGATTCAAATAGGCTTTTTCTAAATCATTTTTCCCGTATTCAGATTTATTTTATTTTCGAACTAAGCTTCTTCAACTCCCTAAGAATTAACTATTATATTTAGAACGGCGATATTCCATTCTGAACACAGAGTCGCGCTATATTGCGTTTTAGTCAACCTAGAAATTTTATTTTAATATTTAGCGAATTTTATAGAGAAGCACGCACGATGACGATGACCGTCGTTCTAAACCGTTCGCTATGATACTACAGTATAAGTTTTACACAACGATATATCTGAAATCTAGTGAATTAAAATTGCCAGTTGATAGTAACGAAATAGTTTAGGTGAGATACAATTTTCTGAATAATGAGAAAGATTTAATATGGGGGCAACTTTCATTTTTTTTATTTTTCAGTGAGTACCACCATCATGTCTACTACAGATATGTCTAGTACTGATGTTACGGGTAAGTGAATTTTTGTTTTCAATAGTATTTGATTAAGTATTCCGTTCCTAGATTCAACGACATCTGCATCGGAAAGTACGTTAGAATTTTATGAAATAATTTACTTATAGCATTAATCTTTATCTTTGCTCCAACAGCCACTACTGACAATTCGACAGCCGGTAAGATAGTTTCATCGAGTCTTTTTGTAGTTTGTATTGCATTTGTTTTCAGATATCGTTAGTACTTCAACTGCTACTGGTAAGTTTTATTAGTAACTCTTTTAAATCGCTAATGGCTTATAAAGGATTTTTACATTGTTAAATCGAAAATTCTGAATATCGATACTGCTTACATAGTTTTCTCTCTTACTCGAACTAGTGAAAGAAAACTTTAGTGTTATGATGGATCATCCATATACTTATTTGTTTTTTTCTTTTTATTGATTCAACAACATCAGCAATAGAAAGTACGTACGACAATTGTATTCAATAATTTATTTTCAATATAGTTCTTTGCTTTTTGTACAAATAGCAACTACTAGTTCGTCGATAACCGGTAAGAAAAGAAGAAGTGTTTTCGCCAAAGTTTTCATTGTTATTTCTTAGACGACGATTCTACTGCAAGTTACGAAAGTAAAGTTGATTTATTATTGTTTTGAATTTGTGATAGCTTACGAAGAAGTTCACAAAAAATAAAATTCAGCTGTAGAAAGATGTTGTTCTTTTGGTATGCTCGATTTCTTTTCAAGCGTGAATTCATAAAATACTCACATTTACTCCTAAAGTCAAAAAATTCTACATGAGATTTTCTTACGATTAACCGTATTTTGTGTTGTCATGCATGCTAAACATAATTCTTTTTTTCTAGATGCAACCACGGCTACCACTGAACGTATGTTAGATGATTTTATGAATTTTTTTATTTATTGCATAGATTTTTGTTTACTAATATTCGAACAGTGACTAGTAGTGAGTCTTTAACAGGTACGAGACGATGAAAGAAAGAGAGAGAGAGTGGCTTAGCTCAGAGTTTCATTATTTTGTTTTGGAAGATAACGCTACGCTAACTTAAGAAGACAATATTTTTGTTATATATTTGTGTTAATGACTTTGAGATACTGAAGAAAAACTTTTCTAAGCGGTATTTATATGGTATGAAGGTGAATATTTCTTAATTTTTTAGTTTCAAACACATCTAGATCTTCAATAAGTACGTAAAACTGTTCTATGAAATAATTTATTTGTAGAACAATTGTTTTTGTTTATATTCGAATAGCAAATACCACTTCAACTTTGAGGAGTAAGTGAATTTAGAATAATTATTTTTTCTAGTACTTCGGAAACAGTAGTACTTCTAGTTCTACAAGTTAAGTTTATAATTTATCACTAGGAATTTCTCTAAAGTTATTTTCTTTTGCAAAACAAATTCTGAATGTTGATATTATTTACACGTAAGTTAGATGACTGAAGCAATGGAATGAAACATCTTTGATTAGAAGATGCCAGTTTGGCATATCCTACAACTTTTGCAAATCAGATCTTTGTTTTGCCTATGGAAAAATTGATATAAGCGCGAATAATGATTGATAAAGTCAAAATTAACTTCTTTATTTTTTTTTATCAATGTCATACTCTCAGATATTCCAACCGACGTATGCATGCGACAAATCCAATCACGAAAATATTCATGTCTGAGACAAGTTGAGAAAAAAATCAATTAGAAACTTTCTGTAAAAGCTCAATGAGACGATATATATTATATTCAAAAACGAAAAGGATAAATAATTGGTATCGTACACAACTTATAGTCGAACGTGCATCGATTACCTACGAAGATGTCTCATTGTTCATCTACGCAATAAAAATCGATATGGTTCTATTTCTGAACTATCTACAAGTTCATGATAGAATGAACTTAGGAGAATAGTGTTCAGTTTTCTATATTTTCATTCATGCCTTTCTGAGCCGTTCTTAACCCAAAGATGAAATTTGTTTGTTTCTTGTAGAGAAAATGTTTAAAATAAACCAAATTAGATATTTCAATTCGATAATTCCCTGTGTTATGTTGTAATCTTTGGATCATTTATGTTGAAGTAAAATATGCTACCCATAATTATAGAAAGTTCTATGTCTATTCATATTACGACTAAAATCTAATGAAAAAAAGCTGTCTAGTCAAATTATTCAACAAACTATTTTAGATTCTACTGATCCGTTGTCGAGACCAAGAGAACCATTAAGTTTAGAAGCATTACGCATGATAATCAAAGCCAAACTTCGAAGAGATCATCCAAATGCAATATTTCCATATTTGCCTACAAGAAACGGTAATTTAGCTTCATACATAGCATTCGTTCGTCAGCATGGTTCAGTGATCGAAGGCCGATATACATTGGGAGGTGTATCAGTCTCGGATTACGATTATGTTACATGTGTGTATTATAATCATCATAATATTGAAATCTCACGTTTACGAATAAGTACAAAACCTGGTTTCTGCGACGTTACAAGCACTGGCATACCAGATGTAAGAAAACTAGAAATGCTAGTCTATGGTATATCGTCATCTCCAACCGGTGGCTATATATCACTTGATGGTACATATGTACCGACGCGAGGAGTTTCAAATTATGGTAATATATTCGGTTACAGAGACTCGGAAATTTGTACTTCAATGCGTGTTACTACATTTAACATGCCTAGTGAACAGATTAAAGTCGATTCGGCTACTGGAACATCAACCTGGAGTATCGTACCAAAGCGTTTAGATTCAAGTTCTACAGTTCGATTGGAAAAAGTTCTTGTCGAATCATCAAATTCTAATATTGGAATTACTACCGTTGTTCCCGCAGTTCAACAAAATAACGGTCAACTTGTTGAATTGAATTCTATTTCTGGTCAAGCAAATTCGCCAATTACAGATTTTCCAACTGATGATAACATCGATGTATTCTTTGTATCAGTCACGATGTTTCCAAGCTATCCTGGTGGGATAGTCGATTCAAGTCAAGTATCAGTAACTGTCGATTATTGTTCTCTCCTTGGAAACTCAAATGAATCACCGAATGCAAATAATATGTATCCTTACTTTCTGCCAAGTAATATGGATTCTAACAATAACAATTATAATCAACAAGCTCGTATGCTTTCTGTCTTGTATTGTTTGATGAGCTTTGTTCTCTATGTTTAAATTCTCTAGCTTTACCGTTTCGTTCACCCATTCAGCAACAAAATATTGGTCAACCATTCAGTGGTCTATCATCTTCCAACATTTTTCAGTATATTTCAGGATCAAACAATGGTAAATATTTTTTTTTAAATCAGTAAAACTGAAATATTTCTCTCGTGACTCTAGATGCTAATCAAGTCGATCCACTGTCTAGTGCTTCATGTAGACAATCACAATCGTTAACAATGACTAGTAGTTCATCTAATGTCAATGCTCAAGGTAATATTTGGCAGATCAACATCGATCAAACATATGGTTTATCTGTCAAAGTTGATAGCCTTCGAGTTAATACTGAAGGGCAACCTATTACTGGAATTGTTCTTCTCATGTTGATTGATGCCAATCAACAACAAATTGGTCCATTTGTTTCTCAAATAAACGATGGTAGCATTTTAACAATTCAAAATCTTCCGTCAACATCTATTTCAACTCTCCATCTTCAATTTCCCGATGGTACTGAATCTTCTGGTTATTCAGTAGATATGGTTCTCTGTCCACAGACACCTGCTGCATCATCAAGTATACTAAATATGTTTTAATTTCCTAGCTTGTTTACTTCATAGGAAGTGGCTATGTGCATCTGTGTGGTGCATATAACCAAATGACTATGTCTACTCAGCTAGGCTATAATCAATTAAGTAGTTGACATCAAGTTATATTACAGTCTTATATGTACTTCATTATTAGTATAAATAAAATTCCTTAATTGATTAGTAATTTCAATCTATTAATTATTTTATCGAATTCAAATAGAATACAAATCAAGCATTAAAATCAAACAAATACAACGGGAAAGAGTGAATGCAAAAGTAAAGGTCAACTACTCATTTAGAAACATTTCTAACGCTTCCTCTCTGTTAGGCACTGAACACAATGGCTGTACTTTACTAGTTTGTGCGTACTTTGGAGAAGCATATTACATATATATAATTACATATATCAGCACTCTTATTCTATGTTAATGGTACCCTCTTTCTTGAATTTAAAAATTATACAGAGAAATATTCTATATATTTTTGTGGTAAATTAACTTCCAAAATTGGAAATTAAAAAAACATAAAAAGTTTTCAATCTCCGACGATTCTGTTTATCAAGTTCAAATAATTAATATCCACTGAAGAAATATTTAAAACGAGAATAATAAATGAGTACAGAAAAAAAACATTTCATCATTATCTTCAACTGGCCATTGGATGTTAAATATATTGACCATAATACAATGCAATCGTTTGATTCAGTGTCTAAGATAAGAGCCGCTAGAAATGTTTCTAAACTAATAGTCGATCTTTACTTTTGCATTCACTTTTCCCTTTATATTTGTTTGATTGTAATATTTGCTTTGTATTCTATTTGAATTTAATAAAATAATTCATAGATTGAAATCACTAATAAGTTACAAAATTTTATTTATATGCTACCAATAAGACTATAATGTAACTTAATATTGACTATTTACAAACAATGCATTTCAAATGATAAGGCATTCGCTGGAAAACCAGCCATGGAATGGGCATGATCGATTTTCTGATTATCAGAGTCATAAATATGCTATTCGAGTTATTATTGAAATTTGTATTTTGTATGTCGGAGAAGGAAGTTTTATGACAAAGTCATCGAAAATAAATCTTCTTTCTCAAGTAAAAGAGACAATTATACAGATTCACATGATAGAATACTGTTTCAGCTCGCCGCATTTGATAGACGATCATAAATTAAAAATTCATTTTTAGAACGTCGTAATCATGGGTATAATAGTCGATCAGGAGAATCTATACAGCAAAACTCGCTTATGCAGTCACACCAGTTGAAACCAAATCATCATCAATATCAAATGTTACCAGTTTCACGAGTTCGACAGCCATCACAAGTACAACAGCTTGGACAAGTTTATCCACAAAGTCAATTTTATCAGCGCTCACCCTATTCAAGACAAGCTGGTCAACAATTTGCGCCAATTCATCAACAAGGTCATTCTAGGAAACCACCACATTTAGGACAAGGTAGTCAACGGCAAACACCATGGCAACCCAATCTAATAGCAAAGCCAGGAAGTCCCCTGGGTAAGACATACGATAGTTCAAGCTTTGGAGATTTTTCTACAACATTGCGTAAATGCAGAACATTTATGAAGCTTTCTATGTTTTGAAACTGATACGAAAAAAAATACTATAGCTTTTATTCAATGAGTAAGCTTTCTTAAATTACATCAATATTTGGCGAAGTTATTTTAAAATTATTCAGCTGTTATGTCAAAAGCATTGAATGAAAAAAAATCAAGATAAATCATAACACTGATATAAAGAAAGAAAAATGCATGCTTGTACTCAACTTTTTCTTTAGGACTCTACTATCCTCCGAAAGGAGCAGCACCACTACCTACTCCTGATTTACATAGACTTCATTTGCATAATCCAAATAACCATAAACCAAAATCTACTACAACTCCAAACTATGACAATCCATTCGGTCAGAATCCTAACAACCAGTATGGTACAGTCTAATCTCAAATTATATAAAAGAGCGAAATATAAAGAATGATCATACTACTTATTTATAGGCTCATCTGCTCCACCTCTTACACCACAGAACATGGATGATGAAATACCATGTACACTGTATGTCGTACGTCCAGGCTCGCGTCGAATCGTATCAAATACGACGAATGCTGAACGTCTCGGTTTGATTTTACAAGTACCATCAAAATCAGGCTATATGTCAATACCTAATAGCATTAGTGTACGAAAGACTCCAATTACTCGCCTAAGTGTCAACTATTTGAATACAGATCGAAGTCCAGCATCAATGTCTAATGGTAGTATACTGCACTTTCTTGCAGCTCCTAATGTATCTGATATTACTACATTTCCTGAACGCGTATCTGCCGAAATGCTTCAAGTAAACATTGATGGAGCTTTGACTCCATCATCACCACCTTCATATGAAGTACATATGATAATTTGTTATGAGTCGATGCCCCAAACACAGGTAATTATATAGTATGTGTTTCACTCGTATTTCGTATCAATATTAAATATAATGTGTTAGAAAAGAAAGTTCCTTGAAAAATCTTTACGAGAACATAACTGAACTTGTCTAGGTTTGAAGTGTGGATAGTCATGTTTACATTAATTAAGTCATTAGGAGATTTTTCGACTAATACTTACGGTAGAATTTATATCATTCTTTAAGTTATTTCAATTAGATTTATCGAGTCAAAGCTGTAATAAGATGCATATTTGTTGTATCAAATGATAAGCCAGATCGACTCACTTATTCGAATATCATCTAAATCGGTCTCTTGTTTAGCATCAACAAGCAACTCCTCATCACCAATTACCAATGCAGACCGCTCCTCAGTTTCAACAATACCCAACTCAACCAAATATACGGGCAACATCGATGAATCATCATCCTATGCAATCAGTCGTAAGTGTTCTTGCATATTATTATGCTTTCTAGCTTTCTTGATTGCTATAAAAAATCGAAATCAGTCGAAATTTCTAAGCAATATATACTTTAAATGCTTTGCTTTTGTCAGTAGCTTTGGTATAGGGCCACGTTAATCATATAAAAAAAATTATTCATTTAAAAAACGAAACATTGAAAATCAATTATGAAGAATTTATATAGTATCATGCTCAATATGTGACCTTTTATGACAGATGCTCTTTATAAGTTGTCTTGTATAAAATTTACTTAAAAATAATTCTAGTATGCTTATTGTTGTAAATAATTATTGTAATTAAGCAGATATATCCTACTCGTTAGAATATATGTGTACAAACCAACATCTTATTCAATTGATTTCAAATATTCTTTATCAAAATTTTAGATGTGGTTATCTCCGAATTTACCTTTTTCGTATTTTTTCATCGTATTTGATGATAACCGATTTATTCCTTCTTAGTCGTTTGTCTTGGATTTCAATCAGTTGCTTGCTAGGACACCTGCTCACAACAATATGTAGAAGTCAATATGTAAACATTTATTAATAACGACAGCAACAGGGACTAACAGTATACAGGAGAAAGTATTCTCTATGTTGACAGCAAATGTTCCATGTTCCATCCCAACTAGCCAAAATTGGATACTTACTAAGTACATTTGAACTTAAGTACAAGTAAAAAGTACAAATTTTAAGTACACAGTATTTGTACTTGTACTTGTCCAATGTTTGCCAACTAGATAATGATAAGCAATCCTCCCATTCACGAGTAGATAACCTATAGTGAACAAATGTCCCGCGAATAACTGATCGGCTCCTGTTTGTATCATCTCATCTTCAAGACAGCTATTCAGTAGAACTATTCTCTCTATCTAATACGTATAATCGTTTTTTATTTTGCCCCTAAAAACTATCAAAATTAGTTTGTTTCATAAACGACTAGGCAGATGAACAGCATATTAACTAGAATACTAGGTCATTGGTTTTTATGTGAAGTTTTGTAGTTTGATTATGTATGAAATTAGACCTGTATTTATATATTCAATGTTTGTGTATCACATTAGCCATATCTACAACAGTTGCAAAATATGCAAAGGCAATATCAACACCCAAGCATAGTAACAACAACATTGACTACTAATACAACTACAGCAGCCACAAAAAAAACTACCACTAGCCATAAGAATACTACACATACGACCGGTGCTATCAATATTACTAATACTATGCATAGTACTAGTGCTGTTCATCATAACCATAGTATGAATACTACTCATATTATTAATACTACTAAAGCCCATACAGTGCATATTAATAATACTACGAAAGCTCATGCAACACATACTAATCATACTACGGAACATCATACAACACATAGTAATCATACTACAGAACCTCATACAACGCATACTAATAATACTACCAAAGCCCATACAATTCATACTACAACAATAGCAACGACAAGCTCTTGCAGTTGTCAATGTCAGTGCCCGCAAGGTGCCATTCAACCTCAAGTTCAAGGTGCTACTGTACAGTATCAGTATATACCAACGCTTCATCAACATATTGGCCGATGAGGTGGACGAGCTAATAGAAATTATAATTTTTTTATGCACGAAGAATAAAACGGATTGAAATAGATTCAGCAAACTATTGCTTTAGTTGTTGATAAAATCTATTTATTGCAATAGCACTCATCATTTGTAATTAAATATATTTAAATTTGATTTAATTAATTAGTCAACTTTTCTGTTTTATGGCTTGCTTCGAGTATATCAAATTTCTTCTTGGGAAGAGTTAAGTCTAGTGATCGATTCATTTCTTCGACAGTCTAGTTTATTTCAAAAATAAGCGTAGCGTTGCCATGCATGTAACCATACAGAAAATCTAACTTTACGAGACTTTGGTGACATCAGCTCCATGATGACTTAATACCTGATGAATATGAAGAATCATGAGAAATTGGATCTTTTGTGTTGGAGTGCCGAAGAATTCAATTATAATTTTATTTCTTCGGATTTGTTTTTACATGTGTACTGCAAGTAATGATTGCCGATGGATTAGTATTAAGTATGATGATTATTACATAAAATGTAACGTAGAAAAGTTAGAATTTTAAAGTAGAAATGGAATATACAAAAATAGTTTCACATTTTCTTTGATTTCTTCTGTTCTTGTAATGTATATCAAGATCTTGTAGAACAATCATAGGAGTTCATCTGGTATCGATATTGTTCTATGTCTGTCAATGACGTGTCCAATAAATATCACTTCGCTCGATTGTCCCATAACAATATTTGATAGAAATATGTGAATTTTTAGGCAAGGCGAAAATGACAAGAACGTATGGTAATCGATTTCAGCCTGTCCCAGTTATCAGTAAAGTTGACGGTTAGTTTCATAAAATTGATCAATACTATTTTAGTGTTTCACTGTCATGAGAGATCAATCTTTCCTCGCTTGTAAAATTTATTTTTAATCCATAATATCAATTGTGTAGTCATTGGAAGAAGAGCAATACTACGCTAGTAGCTATTTTGTCAGACAAATTAAGTTTTAAAACATTTACATTGAATTTGACTATTGGTGTCAAGTGTCAGTAGTTTCAATATTCATCGGAAATTCTTTCAAGTTCTATCCTATATGTAGTAAAAAGCAAAATAATGAATAATATCACTATCCATGGGCAATTATTTGATATGATTAGCAACAAATAGTTCATTTCTCCACAGTAGTTGGTCGTTCGAATTCCTAGCCAACGATAAGAAGAAACAATTGCCATCGATATAGTTCATTCGTTTCACATGATTGACTTTCAGGACAGTCTCACAGGTCGTAACATCGATCCTTCTTGTGCATTTCATTTTCTTCTTACTTCTTATCGTAGTCAACTTCAAACATTCGTAACTGAATGTTTCAACTACTCAAAACGCAGGATGCTGATCAAAGCATCAAGTAAAATTGTTAACACATCTTCAACATCAGACTTTCTTTTGTTTCATATTCAAAGATCTTGTGCAATCGCAGCCTATGTACTCAATGGTTTTCTTGCATTATCAATCTGCGTCGCCTTATCAATTCTTGTACTTGCCCTTATTCCAATCTATTTACCCTCTCGGGACGTCAGTTCGGCTAGTCTTGATAATAAGTAATTGATTTCTAATATTCTTTAACTATGATTTTCTCTTGTTTTTTTTTACAACGTACACTCGACATCTATGTTTATTGCCATATCAACAATACAATACCAAAAACATCGAATTCACCATTTGTATTGATTAGCGACAAAAACTGGCCAACTATTGAACAAACGGTAAATTCGACTAAGACATAATCGAATGAATTTGATTGTTGAAAATTTAAGATAAAAAATTTATTAAATTTAAAAACGAATCACATTCAGTTTACAAACGTATCAGATGTACGAATAGTTGATATCATACCAAAAATGTATTCAATTCAAGCAAAATATCTGCCAACTTTAGGGTGTAATAGCAACGGTTGTCTACGAGTTTTAGGTAAAATTATATTTTCGATTGGTTGTCCATTAGCATGTCAATTACGTAAAGTCAATAAAACTAACACTTTAAACGTAATTCAACCATCTGTGATATTGAGTGTAAATTCGACATCGAATGTCAACTATCTCATTGAATTAGATGCATTTACAATTGGTAAGAAATCTTAGGGCATCATTTTCGTTTCGAATATTAAAAGAAAAGCTCTTATTTTTAGTTGCAGCCATTCCAGAAGGTGAGCGTAGAAATAATGATGAATCTCGTTAGATGAAAATGAACTTTAGGTGAAAAAATTGGTGATCAAGTTAGAGCATTTATGTTTTATAGTTTAATGGGAAACAATGATCGAGCATTTTCATCAACGAGTATTTCGGTCGATGATTCCAGTTTAATTAATATAACTCGTTTAGTAAGAATCTAGAACTTATTTTGTTTTTGAATATTAAAATACTGATTATGAATTAAAGATAGATGAGAGCATAAATAAATCTAATATGGATATGTATAAATTTATTGTTCTTCAAGCTGAGGTGATTATGGAATCTTCAATATTAAACGTTACTGTTGTGTTTACATTTACTACCACATGTAAAATCAATTGCCAACAAATACAAATGAATAAACTAAACAATACAAATTCGATGATTCTCAACCCTATCGCTATGATTTATGATAAAAAAAATCATTTTCATAATGTTTCATTGATAGGTATTGTTTTTTGGTATATCGTTTCTTAGATTCCGTCATTGTAAAACAACAGCATGAAAGGGAACTCTTTCTCTCTCTAGATATATGCATGTGCATACATGTATTGATAGACAAAATTGAACTGTAGTTTTAGAAGTTCGATCATACTTATTGAGCCTGGACCTAATTCCATAAAGAAAAACTTTCGCTTTCTCTTTGGAGTTACATAAAGTTATTGACTGATTTTTTTTACCCGTTAAATACATTCGATAAGTTTCTATAGACGTTTTAATTACGACACCAACATTAGTATCGATTCCAACAACGGGCAATCCAATTAGTAAGAGTTATCATTGTTATGGTTCAAATTTCAATCAAAATTCTTTTTTCTTTAAGTACCGAACAATGTAACAGCACAAGCGATAACTGAATCAACTCAAAGTTCGTTAATATTCATTGATTTATTTTTCTACTCTATTGACATCTTCGTAGAAACAGCAAAAACAATTTTTGAAGCAACTTACAGATTAGAATCATTTGATTTCATATTAGATGGTGATTTCGAAAGTGGTCCTATTATAGATAATTCAACTTTAAATGATTTAACCAACATGGTAAACATATAAAAGGACAAATCTCTTATTTATCTCCAATTTTCATTTTCTTTAGATGCAAACAACAGTATCGAACGATTCAAATATCAATGTAATTGTTTTCAATGCTACTATTGATATTGATAATGAACAGTCTACAACGAAGTTTGATTTTTTTTTCTCCTAATACAAGATATGCATTTCATTTTTCAGACCAGTTTCCTCGGATTCGACTAATTATATTCTTCGTCTTATTGTTTCCTATATCTATCCAATAGCATGCAATGCTTGCATTGAAATATGTGAGAGCTCTATTTATGATGAACCACAATTAGACAAACTGATTGAAATTCGAAATGCTTCTTTAATTGATATTTCTCGACCGGTGAGCGTTATTAACTTGAGTAAGTAATTTGATGTTCTGTACAAAAAGAAATATTCATTTTGGCTACAATACGAAATGATTTGTTTTTCAAAATATTTTCAGCGCCGAATACTATGACAACAATAATTTCATCTACTCATACAGGTAGGTGTGACAGTACTGATCAGTTGTACGATTTCTATCCTTATATTATTTAGTTACGATGTCAACTGTTCATTCTTCAACAACACATTCAGCTGATAATCATACAATAAAAATAACAACGACAACGGTTGTTCATTCGACTACTAGTCAACATCCAATAACAGAAAATACAACTACTGCTCATCATACATCAGACACTAAAACGAGTTCTCTTCATACAACAACTTCTAATCATACATTGAAATAAATTATTTCTATTCAAAGCTTATTTTTTCGCAATTTCTTTTAATAATTTTTTTATATTCATTTATTCTATTAAATCTATCCGATTTCTCAAGAAGTCCCAAATCCATGGTTAGTTTTCTCTCCGCGCCATTATAAATCATACTTGTAGTTCAATCGAACTGTTCTGTCATAGTTTTAATACTCATATATTTCAATTGAAAAACACGAGTATAAAATATACAAATAGATACTCTATCTTGCATGAAGGTTTTATTTGGGAACACAATACATTGTTTAGTAATTAGAATTTATACAACAAAAATGTTTTTTTGTAAATCACTACCGATTTCAAATGTTGTTCATTTTTCTCGAGGTACATTAGCAAATAAACATATCTATTTTTTCTATTTTAGCTTTAACGTAACTATTCGATATGAAAAATGAAATAAAATTGACATCAAGCCAAGTGAAATGCCGCATATGAAAGGGTGTGGGCGTAGGTGTGTGTAAATTCCTTTGGTACACGAACACCCACACCCAATGCAGTATTGGTTGAAGCTATGAGAAAAAGTGATGATTTAAATTCCCTTTTATGGTCATCGTCATCTTGATTCACAGTCAAATCTTGCACAAATAATAAACAAAAATCTAATTAGTCCTGATAGGATTATATTTTTCTGTCTTCTCATGTGGACTTTTATTTAAACTCTTTTGAATTATTTTGTTCTGTGTTATAGAAAGATAAATATAGCGATATATTGAAGAAAATAAATTCATAAATTGAATGTGAAAGTTAAATTAAATTTTTTTATTCGGTAAATAAAAAAGATTCCTATCATTGCTGTTCCTAGTTTTCTTTTCATTTTGTTCGTAATATTCCTGAAAATATGTATGTTTAATCATTATTGTATGTATTCTTATTTGTTTATTGGTAACAATAATAGCAAATGATGATCTTGTTTTGTCCTTTTATTTTCGAATGAAATATTTAACAAAAAAAATTAGAAAATAGTCATGAATAAAACTATTACAATGATGAAGATTAATAGTACTTATTGAGGGTTAAATATAGAATGGTTTAATGAATCAAATAGTAAAGAATCAAAACAATTTAGATGAATTTATGGAGAAATATGAACACTAACAGAAGTATCATAATATTCGAGCTCTTTTTTTTATAGTAGGTTTAAAGATCGTCGGGTTTCAAACCATTTATTACGATATTAATATCTGAACTCTTCGTCCTAATTAACTGAAAAGCATTGTAATCTTTGGCATTAGGTTTTACGTCAACGTCTCATGTTTTCTATGCATAAGTATATGTTATAGTATTTTTTATCAATAATTTCTTAGACAACAAATTAAAATTATATATAAAACGTTTCTCATATAATTTTTGTAACTTGAGAATGAGTAATAGATAGAATTAATGAGAAAATTACAATGGTATTGTTATTTGTAACCAATCTAATATTTTTCTTTTTTGAATCCGTCTAACTCAGTTATTTGAAATATCCAACCTTCGTACCCATGGTATGTACACACTGAACCAAGACCATAGATAATTCCGTGAGATAAAAATAAACAGAATTTCGAATTCAGCTAATTTAAACCATGTACTCGAAGCGTATCGCATATCAGGTGGAACTGCAATTTCATAAATTCACATCACTAAAACTGTTGGTTGAATTCGATAGTATTGATTAATAACGAAAGATAAAACACTATGCATTTATGGTGATAACCGTTTTCGATCAATATTAACTATATATGCATATGAGTTCTTCTTAGTCATTTCGAATGAAATGATATTTTTATTGTCTATAGAAAGAGTTTTGGTAGTGAAAAATCAGATATGAAAGAATACACGGCAAGTATTTCTTATATATGAGAGCGAAAAATCAAGGTTTATTTTATTCATCAAAAAAGAAACTTCGAGAATCACATGTGATTTATTTCATATATCTGCGTATATTTTTGTTTTGATCATGACAAAATAAAATTGAAAAACAAACGAAAAAAGGAAGAGGATTGAAAGAGAAAAAAATCGCACAGTGACAAACGCATATATGAAAAAATACTGCTTGTCTATTGAAAATGACACGGTCCATTGATTCACCTAGACAAAAATAAGTGGGAAAAAACCAAGTAATTTCGTCGACGACAAATATGGTGTGCAAATCATTGCAAAGATAGGATGTGGGTGTGGGTGTCACGACTGCGGGGG